TAGTTGCATAACAGAGTTTATTTATAGCTAGGATTTTCAGCGCCCGGGAACAACCAAAGATCTCGTGCCCCCCCTCCTGTTTGTCAAGAGTAGAAAAGATTTCATTCTAAAAATTAATAACATCAATTTGGTGCCCACTAGAAGCTGCGCCCCTGGTGCATATTAACTACAAATGAACATTAGTGTTAAATATTTAGAATTGTTATTCTGATAGAATTTAAATGTATTTTGAATTTAAAATATAAAGAAAATTTATATATTTATATTGATTCATATTATTTTCTATAAAAAATAAATTTTCCATTCCAGAGGCAGCAAAACGTCTCCAATTTTTTTATGCCTTCACTTCTTTGTTTAAAGTTGACATAAAGTTTTTATTAATCAGTTTGTAAAGTCCAGTAGATAAACTTCTGTATGAAAACTGGAATAATAGTAACTACACAAGAGAAGGGTTAGTTAAAGTACCCTTTATTAAATCTAAAATTTACAATGTGTCAACTCGACACTAACAATCTTCGCCTGTGAGTGGTAACTGAAAATCAAATAACGAAACTAAAATCTGAAGATATTAATAAATGATAGAACTAAACTACAGGGCTCAGCGAGATCTCATTACTTAAACACCCTTCGAAACTAGTGGCAGCAAGTAAATGCAATTAAGCCATGTGAACCAGCAATAAGCAAACGTATCTACAGCAGAGGTGGCAGTTGTAGGCTAACTCTCCTCTCTTTCCCACTGAAACTTGGCTTTTAAATACTTCAAAGTAGAAATTTGCATTCCTCCACACGTGCTACAAAATTTAAATATTCTGGCACTGATAATTAGGGAATTGAAGGCTTATAGGAAAGTTTGAAATTAAACTTGAACTTGTTAGTTAAAATAAATATAAATCTCTACAAGTGTTTCATTTGACATTTACTACTCAATAACTTCATGTCTATCAGACACAAACATGTTACATTCTGACTTTCTGAAAATGTAACATCAAGATGCACTTTTTAAAAAAGGCCTCCAAACTTGTCATAAAAAATTCCAGGTTTGCTCCTCAAACACAAGAATGTGAAATATATTGCTAGTTTTCGCAGAGATGTTGTATGTGCCAGAGGGGAGTCTGTAATCTCACAGCTTTCAAGCATGTGGTCATGGAAATTTAAATAAACTTAACTTGTTTTTCAATGACATTTACGTAAACTCATAACACGTGTTTATCTTCAGACCTATCAGATAACATTCTGACTTTCTGAGACACAAACATGATACATTTAAAAAAAGCCTCCAAAGTGTTCACAAAAAATTTTAAAAAGGCCTCTCTTGTCACAAAAAATTCCAGGTTTTCGCCTTAGGTCAAATGCCAGAGGCAGAGCTGTGCCTCAAGGAGAGTCTCAAATCTCACAGCTTTTTTCCTTCCGAAGAAAAACGGTAAATGGCAACAGAAAAATAAAGATTTGAAAGATTTTTAGAAAAACAAACGTAACTGACACACTGATGGGGTAATCATCAAAAAAGAAGGTATTTGGGGAGAAAAAAGTAGGGGCACGAGTAAATATAATTTTAATTTTTGACATTATATGCCAAGATATATATATTTGTGAAGGGTACTCTGTCTTAACAAGTTGGCTCATAATATGTGTGCTGCTTTGCACGCAACCAATTTTAGAATTCCAAACAGAACAGGGACTGCTGAGGAATTGAAGCACTTGTCAGTTCCCTAACTGCCTATAGAACTGAAAGCATATCATTCAGGTATGTGGGGATATATCTAATAAATATTTTGGCAAAAAAAAAAAAAAAAGTAAATTTCTGACTACACTTCCATGAGTAAGTCATAGAAAGTTTTTTTTATTTTTATTTTTTTATTATTATTATATGTCGAAGATAGATAATATAATGAAATTAATCAATTAGCAACTTCCCTTTCTTCATTTTAATTATTTTTCCACTAAAAATAGTAATTGCTTATAACAACTTTCTCTGGACTATGTCATTTCTAGTTTAATCTATATCATATGAGTTTTAGATAACACAGGTGATGTAAATGGCACTATCATGTTGAAGATTTATAATCCATGTACTACTTCTCTCTATATTTGCATAACTTCAAAAAATTTCAAAACATTTTCTATAGTCTTTGTCAGAATGCCCTTTGAGAACTTCTTAACAAGAATTATGGAAGATTTACCATCATTTTTTTTAGTTGGATAACAGGTATCACCCGTTTAAGATACACAACATTAATAAATGTCTACAATTGCTTATCTCTATCTATATATATAAATCGGTTAATTTATAATATAGAGAATGTTTCAGAAAATCAGTTACAAACTTTCAGGAGAGATAGAGTATACCTAGATGATGGAAAAACATACAGTGATGGTCGAAAAGGCTTTTTCCTGCGTGGTATAAACAAACCACAAGAAAGGAAGAACATGAACAGGGTGAGGAAACATGTTTATTATGCTTAGTACAGCAGAAATAAAGAAATAAAAGAGAAAACGGACAACAATCATCATCAAAGAAGGTGTCTGATATTATGACTCCGGGCCCTAATGCAGGCCTCACATCTCTGGGACATTGAAGATCTGACATTCTGGAAGAAAATACCAAACATGCCCCAGACTTCCCCAGCAGCTGTCATGATGTGTGCAACAAGTTCCTCATCCATTCAAATGAGAATTTCATACACCAATATCTTGACGTACCCCAGAAGAAGTAGTCAATGCAAGTGAGGTGTGGCGACCTTGCTGGGCAACGTACCAGACCACTCCAGTCGATCCCATGTTGAGGATACTTTTCAAAAGTAATTTTGAATACCTTTGATGGCAATCGTATATTTTTGTTCTTATTTCTTTCTGCTGTACTAAGCATAATAAACATGTTTTCTCACTCTGTTCATGTTCTTCCTTTCTAGTAGTTTTTGTTACCACCACGCCAGGAAAGCCTTTTCAACCATGCACTGCTATGTGATTTTCCATCGTTTAGGTGTACTTTCTCACTGTGTTGAAAGTTTGTAACTGATTTGCTGAAACACCCTATATACATATATACATATATATATAATATACATAAATTAATTTTAATTCATATGTGTTAGATTTGTTTCCTATAATTGATTCTTTCAACTATCATATATATTTTTTTAATTTGGCACTTTGCTGCATTTTATCCCAATGTTATAATTTTCTAAAAATATGCCATTTTTCTATATTTTTGAATTTTTTCATTATTTCTAAAATAAAAGCAAGATTAATATGGTAAAAGTACATCTTAATTAAATAACTATAACACACGACAGATTAGTTTCACCTTCCAAATGGTAGGAATGATGATAAGCATCAAGTTGAGTGATAGGTATTAATTTAATGCAATACTGCAACACACGTGAGTATCTTCCAAAGAAAGAATCTTTTGTATAGGATTTAAATGAAACTGGCTCACACTTATTTTATGCTTAGTGAATAAATTTTACTGGAAGTCTAGAGATCATGAAAATTCACGTACAGGAAGGCTGGAATTTTAACCCTCTGACTGCTCAATTTGTGGACCGAAATCGCTTCAAAAATTATGTAATTTTGTTTTTGCATATTTTAATCTATATATATATATTAAAGAATTTAAAATGCATATTTCCTTTCTAGAAAATTTTTATATAAGTTTTTATCATAAAACTAATTGCCAGAAACCATTTCTACAGTTAATTTCTATTAAATTGCATAATATAAAAATGTAAAATATATAAAATTTAAGGAAATATAAAGCACTGATGGGAAAATATCTTAGAAATACAGTTTAGTATGATAGAGTTCAAAACAGAGTTCAAGGCAAAGTCCAACTTCACAGACTTTGCACCAGATTCAATTAATCAATCAATCTAATTAATAATTAATTTAAATAATCAAGATAATCGCCGAATGTTTTCTAGCAACCATTTTTCTAAGAAAAAAGCAGCAAAAAGTAGAGTTTGAGCGGTAATACCACCTGCCTTCAAACGGCACAATTTAATGGACAATTAATGATATCTGTTGGCCAAAGCATAACCTAAACATCTAATACTGTATATAATTTATTCCAGTGGTTAAACAGGGGAAAAAACGGGATCCGCTCCTCAATAAAGGAAGCAAAACACATACCCGTGGAAATCGCAGTATGAGCAGATTTTGCTACATTTGAATTGCCCGTGAAAATCGCGGGATGATCAGCCAGAGGGTTAAAGTGGTATAAGATTCAGTAGTGACACATAGAATGCAAACAGCTGATCATTTTATCTATATAATCATTACATTTATACTTATAGTTATTATTGCATAAAAAACCATACTTTCACTTGTTTTTTTAAAAAAGAAAAAACTTCTCTGGAATTTTTGCAAAATCAAAATTTTATGCAGTAGGGGATAATTGCATAGAAGTTAAATTTAAAAAAGAATTACGATTTATCACATTAATTCTAAAATGGATAATTAGCAAAAGTTCTACCTTCAAACTTTAAAATTATCTATGAATAAAATTTACTAATAGATGCATTTTAATTCTATATTGTATAACTGTATTTATATACATTTTGAGCAAGGTAAAAAATTAGATGTCCATTGTTCTGGATGAAATATAAAAAATCTTTTCACAAAATGGAGTTCTGTTTTTGCTACATGAAATAAAACTGTAATCATAAATTTTTATTACAGTTTCCCTTTTACCAAAAATTTCCGGTTTTAGTCTTCTTTCTGCATTCTTTTCTTAGTGTTTGTTTTATTTTGTGCACTATTTTTGTTTCAGCATTTTTTTTTAAACTTCTTTAATAAAAATATATTTTTAGGGGAAAAATGCTCTATAATTTTTGAATGTATTATAATTTTTTCACATGACTATTTAAACATTCACATCATGGAGTTTTAAGTTCTATACTATTCCTAAATCTACCAATATTTCTTTGTTTTCAGCATTTTGCACAATATTTTATGACTGAAATAATATATATATATATATATAATAAAAAAAGAGCACATAATTGAACACAGAAGAGGAGGTTGTATTTATTCTGTTCAGTAATTCAACATTCATATGTAGAACATTTTCTAGAAGTTTTTTTATACAAAAGGCTTATGCATAACATCAAAAACTAGGATAATTTTAGCTTATATAAAATTTGAATTTTTTTAATGTAATATCAATTTTTAACAGCAACAATTTTAATCATTTTTTTGATAGATATGAAGTATCTAATTGTTCACCAAATGCACAATATAAAGTGAATATTATACCATTAAAACACTTCAAAGCAAATCTAAGATATAACAACATTTTCTGTTTTAAATAATACTAAAATTGCTTAAATTAGGACCAAGAAAAATAGTCTAACAATTATAAATTTATAAACAATTTATTTCATATAGAGATAGAAAATAAAGAACTGTATTGTGAAACGATGTTCATAACAAAAAAGTCCGAGTATTATTCAAGACTAGTTTACTGACATTCAATCAGCTTCTTTTTTTAAATAAATAGGACATACACAATTAAAACATTTAAATAAAATTTTGAAGATAAATGTACACAAGTATACTAACCATACAATTCCACAGCAGCACTAAATATAGGATGAAAAAACACACTTACCCTGTTACTTAGAATTTTATTATTATTTGCTTTTATTCTATAATCCAATTTCGGTAAAAAATAAAATAAATCTTTGGAAGAACAGTTTTCTTTTTACAATCCATCAATTATTTATACAAACAATTAACACAATTCAACAAAAATAATGAACTTATCATTGGTTTATTAATAAATTACATTTCCTATAAAAATCTTAATTGTATCTGAATTAAGCTCTTTGCTCAATGGGTGATTATAAAAATTACAGAAATGCATGACAATAAATAATATCTTTGGTGGTACACCTGGTTTATGCTACCTCATTTCTTATAGGATTTACTTGTAAAATGAGAATTTTATGATATAATATATTATTCCATGTATATTTACACCTGATACTTAATTTTTCATTTATAAACAAACAGCAAACTGGTTACACAACTTAAAAAAAAAAAATCTTGAGAGAAATGCAGTAAAATTTTAGAAATATTTTAAGCTTTCCCTCCTATAGCAAATTAAGTTTAAAAGTATATTTTCATGATTAAAAAGAGGCAGTTTTCCTTCATTCATCAGTTACAATTACATTAAATTTGAAACATTTTTACTTTTACCAATAGAATCATCCTCAGAATAGTATCACATATTACATTTAAAATACTCTTAGTTAATCTTTTACAAATACAAAGGCATGAGGGTTCTTTCTCTTTGGGGAAAAAAAAAAAAAAAAAAAAAAAAAGCATGTATTCTTAAAATATTAATTCTTTTTATTCAAATAAGATTGCAAACAGCCATATACTATTTTCTGTATTGGGATCAAAGTATACTTATACACATATAACACATGTGATCTCAAAAACAGAGAGTTAAATATAGCTAGTTTCTCACCTGTAATATATGATGCTTGATAAAATTTGAAAATTTATCGAAGTAAGATGGATCTAATGGAAAGATCAGATATTACTTAATGTAGTTTTAATAGTGACATAGCTAGAACTTTTACCCACCCCTCTCAATGTATACTAAAAAATCAATTCTATAAAATGTCAAAACTATACATACAGAAATAAATGTAAGTGTATTACTTTTTACATAAAACTAATTCCAACATTTTAAAGTGCTATTTTGCTTGTTTCTCTGCTAGCAAAATTTTCAGTGACATTATAGAAGTTTTTTTAATCATTCTAATAGCTCTTCTCTAAACATTACAGTATTTATTAAAAACAAAGTACTCGCGTTTAGATCTTAGGTGCTTCTTAACTGATTTGTATTTAGGAAAGTAGTTCTCACAAAATGCAATGCTTGCAGCAAATGTGAGAAAAATTGAAACAAAACTCTCTCAGTGTGGAATTCCTCTATTCTGTATCATTAAGAACATAGTTTAATTGCCATTCATATTTTCCAATAAAAAATTTTAATAAAGAAGACACAGAAAGAAAGTGAAGCTATTGAAGTCTCTTTGATATTTCTTTGACTACTGCATTTAGTCTAAAAACAATTTTTTCCTCAATTCATTTTCATATAGCATTTGTTGGTTCTTCACCTCACCACTCATTGAGAGGATAAGGTTACTAAATATTAGTAGTTGAACCTGGAGATAAATTTCAAACACCAAATTTATCTCCTTATGTGGTTTACCTTATACAAGGCTGGCTACCTTATGTGGTTTACCTTATACACAGGTATGTAACAATGTATTCACATATTCATGATATGAATACATGCCCCTTAGAGAGATAAAAGTAGTGAACGAAAAGGTTATTTGTTGTAGACTGCTCCCTCTAGCTATGCCACTGAGTTGTAACTGGATATATAAAAAATAATACTTAAATCATATTAATAAGAAGTAAAAAATATTCTTCATCAAATTACTTTTTGTATCAAGTAACAAGGTTTATTTTATTCTAATAACATCATCATTAATGCATTTTTGAAACAGCATATACATACCAAGTTATTTATCAGTTTTAGAATAGCAAACTCAAATTTGTTTGAAAACAAATTTGAAATTCATTCAAACAAAACTCTTTTTGTAATGTACATTTATTCTTAAAATGTCAAATTTCTTATATATGGAAGTTAAACATTTTTCAAACAATTGTTGGATATTAGTACTGTAATAACAGACAAAACACTTATTTGAACTGAAATTGCATTTATACAAAGATGCCAGTGATTTTATTATACATATAAATTTATAAAATAAATTACTTTTATTCAAGTTTATTTCATTGTTTTTCACAGCAAAAGACATTGCTTTTTGAAAATGTATTTCAAAATTTGTTAAAATTAATGTGAATAGACATTTTCTATCACTTCTAGAATGTAATTTTTCTACATAAAATCCATCAAATAACTGACTCTATAATTCTACATTTTGCAACACCAATAAAATGATGCCATTGACGTCATATTTTTGACCGGACCACTAATAAATACATGCAGTTAATATCAGCCTATAATGCACAAATTTTGGAACAAATTTCCTCAGTGAATTCAGAACACTTTGCAGAGCCACCAAGATCAGCTGTTCTCACCTAAAAATAAAATTTTAATTTAATAAAATAACGTACTACTAGTTTCAAAATCCTACAACAAAACTTCATGTATGGTTAGCTGATTTTCCAAGTTTTCTCATACAATTCAGAAACAGCATATTCAAGCCCTTATATAAAGCTGTTTTGTACTTTGCATATAACTTAATCCCACCTTCCCAAATAAATTTCCCAAACCCAATTTCTAAATAACATTATTCATATAATACCTATTATGAAAATTCTACATAATAATATTTCAATTACTATTTAGGGGGAGGACTAAAAAATTGAATATGCATGTATTCATAGCAGAAACAGATATCGCAGATCTTATAGAGCAGAATGAAACATGAAAACATCAACAGTTTCTTCTAATTTCACAAAATATGCAATAATTTAGTATTGATGTGATACACAGCAAGATTCTAACACATGTAAAATTTGCAATAATCAGGTTTACTTAACCTCTATCAAGTACTTCCAATTCTTTATGCAATATTATTAACAAATTAATGTATCAAATGCTGTATTTCTATTCTGTGCAAACAGAATGTAAAAGCTATTGAATGTTAGTACAATAAAAGCCTAACTATCTGCCATTCAAATAACCAAAATATTTATGAATTTTAGAACTTTTTTAAATGTAAAATTAGGCATATAAGATATTTGTAACTCTGTTATTAAGCATGGAATAGGACTAGTTATGAAGAGGATTTGAATCCAACCAAAAAATAGTGTGAAAATAGTGCAATTTAGTTCCAATAATGGATAAGCGTGACATAATGCTTTGGCAAACCTGATTAATTCTCGATAACTTGATTTTATTTTTGGAAAAAATGATTAAAATTTGGGACTTGTCTTCAACAGAAGAACACGCAAAGTATTTCAAATTCAGAAGATCCTCATATCAAGAAGTGTAACTTCCTGTGTGAAAATGCATAAATGATATAAAATGTGAAAAATATGACAGGCGATATAAATTTTTTATATACTATATCAGTAATGTGTATGTGTTGATTAACTCAATAAAGAGCGATCTATTCCTTCAGACTTCTGCAGCACAAGTTTGGTGAAGCCTCCAGCAATTTTTATGGTTGATGGAATTTCGTAATCAAATAGGATGTTTTATTTCACTGTTTATATTTAAAAATGCCCTTTTTTCTTTTGTAATCTCACATGATTTGTTTGTAGGCACTTGACATTGAAGTTGATAACAAATACGATTCTTTATTAGAAATTTTTTCTTCCATCCATTTGGCTTTTTTACAGTGGTGGCCAAAATTGTGGACACTTTTGGAAATTTTTATGTTTTTGAACTTTGTATGCTTATAGAAAACGTTACGTTTCACAAAATGCAACTTCTATATAGCATTTTAAAGAAAATTTATTACTTAATTCAATACAAAACACAAAATTCAATTATTTGCAATAGAAAAAAAGTTAAACGATAATAGTTATCGATATACATTAGATTGTGATGATTGCAGTGAGTTATCAGTACTTAGTAGGGTACCCTTTATTTTTTATTACAGCTTCACATCGACATTTCATTGAGCTGACAAGAGTTTTAAGCTCTTCTTTCGTTATTACATGATGCCAGGAAACAATTATAGCCTCAATTAGTTCACTTTCATTTGAAGGGCGCCTCATTCGGACAAGAGTTTTCGAACGGTGCCACAAATTTTCAATAGGATTGAGGTCAGGACTGTTTCCTGGCCATGACAACAATTTAATGCTCTTTGCACGAAACCACTCTTTCAATATTTTGGCTGTGTGGCAAGGAGCAGAATCCTGCTGAAAAATAAACGAAGCATTGTTGGGAAAGAGATCTCTGATGGAAGGTAGAAGTTTGGTTCTAGAATAGTGTCAATGTATTTTCTGACATTCAGTGTCCCATCGATGACATGAAGGCGACCAATACCATCTGCTGACATGCATGACCAAATCATAACACTAACTGGGTTCTTCACAGTTGCTTGAATGCAGTCCGGATGTAGCTCTTCTCCTATTCTACGTCTTACATATTTTCGCCCATCACTACCGAATAACGATATCTTAGCTTCATTACTCCATATAACTTGTGACCACTGATCATCTGTCCAATTAATGTGTTCCTTTGCCCACTGTAGTCTTTTTTTCGTTGCTGAAAATTAAGATAAGGCTTTTTTTCGTGGAAATCTACCTCTCAGTCAAAAATCTGTTAATCTTCTCCTGATTGTTCTTGAACTGACAGAAACACCAGCATCATTCAGATCACTTCTGATGGCCGCTGATGACATTTTTCTATCTTGGAGACATAGTCTTTTTATTCTTCTGTCATCAATAGATGTGGTGCACATTTTTTTGCCTTTTCCTTCTTTGTTTTTTATTGAATTTGTCTCCTGATGACGTAAACAAAACTTTCGGACTCCAGATGTAGTCACTGAACCACCCACTTGTCTTGCAATTTCACCATAGGAAAGACCACTTTCTCGTAACACAATAACATTACATCTCTTTCTAGGTTTCCAATCTACTCTTTTATTTGATGTCATTGCTTCTTGACTAAATATTAAAAATTTTTACAAAAATTCCTACTTGTAATTGCAGTGTATAAGAAACAGGTCCTCCTTCTACAGAACAAAGCAAAATAATAAATTGTTTCAAGTGTAAACATGATGTCAGCTTCTACTGGCAGTTACTAACATTTGATTGGTTCTCAGAACAAGAAAAGTGATTGGCCAGGAAAGTTAGACATTACAAACCACTTCATAACTGTGTTTTTTTATTTATATTAAAGAACATATAACTTTTTGTATTGCAAATAATTGAATTTTGTGTTTTGTATTGAATTCAGTAATAAATTCTCTTTAAAAATGATATATGCAAGTTTGCATTTTACGAAACGTAACATTTTCTATAAGCATACAAAGTTCAAAAACATAAAAATTTCCAAAAGTGTCCACAATTTTGGCTACCACTGTACCATGATTTGATTTTTCATGCTCTTCATTATCTGGAATTTGCCATTTTCCAAGATTTCCAGATAGTCGAGCTTTTCCTATATATTGCAGTTTTGATGATTCTCATTTGTCAATTGATAAGTTAGTTAATTTTAATAAAGAACCACAAAGTTAAGAACATACTTGGCAAATATATATGGAAAGAGTTGCATAGTTAATGGTGTGATTAATATTTTTAAATTATGTATGTTCAAAATAGTGAAAGATGTGGGATAACAGAAATAAGTCTCACGAAAGCTTCTTCATTTATTCTGTTAGCTTAAGAGAGTTCATGACTATTTTGAAACTAAGAAATGAAAATCATATTTAATGAAAGTGTGAAAATTTCTCGTGGATATAATAACTAAAATATAATCATACACATATCTGTATTGGAATATTTAATCAAAATAATATAGTGCTTTTTTTCAAGCTCTTTCAACCTAATTTCGGTAAAAACTTATTTTCAGCACCTGAATGCTTGAAAATTCCAAATAATTTCCACGGAACAGCGGAATCACCCATTTTCTAATACAGTCAAAAGTCATTAATCCAGACGGCCATAATCCGGAATGATCTATAATCCGGACCTCAAAGCTACAAACTTTCTGCGTATGCGTCAACGCACATGCATTTAATGTATAATGGACGGTATAAGCTAAGCTAAAATTATCTAATTATCTATTTTGGTTAATGTTGCAGATTGCGTTGTTCCTTAATCTTCGAACTGGATCTGACTTATTATTTTTTGCAGACTGTTAGAGCAATTTTATAAAAGTAAGCTTGAGCTTTCGATTATGTCAGATAGAATTTCCGATGCTGGATACTGCCAAAGGATCTACAAAGCGAAAGCATGTTTTGATGTCCATCAAACAAAAAGTGGATAAAGGCATATCCTTTGTTTCTCTAACCATTCCGAAATCTGTTTATCAATTTCACGCTGCTCTGCGGAGGAGGGGAACGTTGCGGCGCGCAATGAACTGGAAGTTGATCTGTCAGCACTATCCTTAACTTCAGGGCAGATGTTTTTATTTTATTAGGCTTATAGTTCATTACTAAATGTAGTATTTCATCTCGATCTACTCCGATATGATTTAAATCAAATTCATTATAAATATCACGAATACACATCAAATAGTTTTCTGGTTGCAATTTTCTAATTTCGACTATGCGTAATGTATGCTTTATGCATGCACACGTTGAAAGAAATGTTTAATAAAGTAAACAAATAAATATTAAGCTTTTTTTTTTTTTTAATTTTGATACCCTTTAGATCATAATTGTTCTTTATTTCATAAATTATGATCATATTTTTAATTTTATAATTTCTGCATGCCATCTTACCAGATTTAAACGTGATCTATAATCCGGAATCGCCGAAGCACTTACGAGTCCGGATTAAAGACTTTTGACTGTATATGCTTACTACCATGCAAAAGCATTTCTGCTGGCCCCCTTCTCTTTCATTTAAGTAGATAGCTTTCATATTTTAATTAAACAATTGAGTCCATTCTTCTCTTCGTTATTTTGCTTAGAATAAATTCAGTCTTACTTACTTTGAAATACTTACTTTTACTACTTACTTTGAAAAATGATAAGGTTACTTGAAGTTAAACAGACCTTTATATATTATTATTTTTTACCCATACTAAATTCAGATAGCTTAAAATTCTTTCAATACATAACATTAAAATGCTTATTATAAACCAAAACTGCACTTAAATGCTTTATACACTAAAAATTTCATTAGCAGTATCTAATGTTATTAACTGTTTTGCAACAGTTACTGAACCACTCTCTTGGGAGAGCATGCTGATGTGCTGCACTGTCTTGTTGTCATATGCAATTTGTGTGCTAAGCCTAACTTTGGGACAAAATTTGCATAGACTAAATTTATGGTCCAGTTGTTCCAATTCTTGGTACATTTACAAGTCAAACACTCAAGGAATTATTAGAATTACTTTGGAAACTTTATCATTATATTTCCCTTGCCATTTGAAGTATAAAACAGAGTTTCACTAAACCATACACAAAATATTTGCCTCAGTACTAGCCAAACTTTAAGAGGAATGAATAAAACTTCTAAAACAATAAGACATATGATCCTATATCGCCAGAAATAAAAACAAAAGTATTCAGAAACATCCAGCACATCCCTGTGTATTTATATCAGCTCTGTTTATTTGCATTATTCTACCTATGATTTCCAATTTGATTATGAAACAAAATAACAATAAAAACATACTACAACTGAATGAAGGTTCCCCAGTCTTTATAAATTCCTTTATAATGAAAACAAGGCTTCATCTAGTGACAAAAAAGATTTAAATGTTCTATCCAAATATGCAATACACCCGCCCTAACAGTCTGTTTAAACAGTGATTCATATATGAACACCTGCCGCTGTGATACAGATGGTGGTTGATGCATGTATGATACACCAGTCACAAAAAGGTTAAGAGATATTATATACTATTTGAAAGAAACCAGGCATCAGAATTTAATATAATATATAAAATATGCATATATTTATACCTTGCCCTCCTTGATTGTTTCAAAACATGCTTGGGAAATTTTATCAGCATGGCTGCCTAAGTTCATATGCCGCAACATCATGATTGCACTTAAAAGTAGGGCAGTTGGATTAGCTTTATCTTGTCCTGCAATATCTGGTGCAGTTCCATGGACCTTTAACATATGAATTCTTTAATCACACCATAATAAAACACATAAAAATAATAAATTTAGCAAAAGAGAAATATTAAACAATTCAGTTATTTTTTTTTTAAATATAAATATATGTAAAAAAGGGAAAAGAAAAACTGCATACAGAATATAATTTTAAAGTATTATATTTACAATAAAAAACCATCAAATTTACAAGCATAAGAATGAAAAACTATGCAGATAATTTGATCTAAAATCACCAAATTTCCAGATGCACAGCAACAGACTGTTCTGACAAGGAATTTTCCCCCCAATGCATTAAAAAGGAATAAATTCAAACCCTAATCCAAATATGTTAAAAGTATGTGGATTAAATATTACATATTTGGCAATGAATTGCCAACTGGCATATTTTTGGCACCTTTATAGAAACTGGAAATTTATAAAGAATGAATTTCATGCATACGATTGTAAAAGTAGAACAGATTTCATAAAAGTTATGAAAAACTGTTAATGATTGCAGATATGCCTTGTTCCTAATGGTACTAAAGCTGAAGTAGATAAAATAGAGTATAAAAGTATATGTGCCAATACCAGTAAATAATTTCAAAACATTTCCCCCACTTTTTTTTTCCAAGGACTCTATTCATGTCATATTTATATGCATGTATGATAATTGTTTGTTGGAATAATAGCTGTTGGAATTGTTTTAATTTTTCCTTCTTTTTAGAAATATTTTCAAGATAATAATAAATATCAGCAATGTGTTTATCTACACTTATTGGCAAAGAAGCTGACCCTTTTCCCAACTGCTAAATTTGAGAGGTGACAAGTGTGACTCATAATTTGCAAATCTGAATTTCTTTTTTTAATATGCCTGCAACATGAGTTTTCAAGCCTACCATCCCTAGCGCATTGTCAACACTAAGTGCTCAACAATTATCCTGAAGAATTGCATATTCTTTAATAGTTCTTTAAGTGTTAATAATTAGTTGTGCTATATAAAAAAAGCCTGTCAAATCTCCTTCTAAACTGGGTACAGAAAGTAAACTACACTCAATTTCTGAATACTCTGGATTAAAAAAAAGAAAGAACAATTGGATGCAGTTATGTATCGATACTATTGCTTCCATCCGTAGAAAGGTAGAGAACTGTTTTAATGCAATCAACCATTAAAGCTTTATTTTTCATACCAATTTCTTGAACCCATTTCTTCTACACTTGAGTATTTCTTAGTGACTTCACTGCCAAAAAGCATTTTTCTAAATAAAGCTGCAGTAAGATCCAGTGCATTCAGTGGCAGGTTATGCTCCAGTAAAAAGGCAGAGAATAGCCATTCTGCATTAACAACTTTTGGTCTTTTGTTTCCACAGAAAATTTTTTTTCCAATACAATTCATGTTATCCTTGCGAATTCACATGTTGAAAATCATCAACCCTTCCATTGTGCGAAATTGAAAAATCGCAATGACAAATGGTACAATTACAATATTATATTTCCTTGACAAAATAATAGAAGGAGAGTCCATCTGTGTACAATTTCTGAAAAATACATAGTATTTTGAATTTTTCGCAGATATAACTAAAACAAAAGATCGCAGTTTCTTAAACTGTTTCTGTGAAGCATGTGAAATTTCTGGGAAATGCTGCTCATTGGCGAGACAAACGAAATAACAACCTCAATTTTGCTTTGTGCTCATTGGCTAATATAGTACAAAGTCTGTAATCTGGATGTCCATTATTCAGAATGATCTGTAATCCGGACCTCAAAGCCACAAACGTTTTTTTTGTATGCTTTACACATGCGCATAATGCATTTATGCATGCACATTTAATGTTTATGCATGCACGTTTAGCACAAAAAACGAAGCAACTTAAAACAACTTACACTGAAAGAAATGTTTAATAAAGTAAACAAATAATATTAAGCTTTTTTTTTTTTTTTTTTTTTTTGTAAATTTTGATACCCTTTAGATCAGAATTTACTCTTTATTTCATAAATTACGGTTCTATTTTTAATTGTATAATTTCTGCATGCCATCTTACCAGATTTAAATTGATGATCTATAATCCAGAAAAACCCTTAATCCGGAATCGCCGAAGTCCCGACGAGTCCGGATTATGGACTTTGTATGTATATGCTAGATGACCCACAATGGCACTTGATTCTTACGGGAGAATTGGAATACGAAGTTTTCGGAAACGTGTTTCCGACCCTCATGCACAAAGCAGAAATGCGTCATATCTTACAAGTGAAACAACTTCGGTTTCCTTTCATATGTATCTAGATGTAAAACAAGCACTCTGAAACATTAAAAATTATCTTTTTGGGTGCAAATAACAAAGTAATACATAAAAATCACAAGAAATTTTAAGAATAAGAGATGTTGGGAGAAATATGTTGCAAATCGGGTTGGCAGGAGTATAGTTGGAAATTAGGAGTCTCCCATCTAAATCTGTCGAGTTGGTAACTCTGCATATACTTGAAGAATTTCCATATTCACTGATAATAATAGTTGGAAAACATGACCTTTGTGATAACCACACTCTGAACATTTTGAAGGTCACTCTTTCATCACAGTATCACAACCATAAGATCAAGGTAAAAGTCCAAGAATATTTTTTTGCAGTGCAGATAAATAGATTCTTGTTGATAACCCCTGTTTTGAAAGGCTGGCTGAATAATCAGTCAGGCACCCCGAAAATTTCATTCTGCATTAACTGATTGCTGCTTATTGTTTACAAAGCCAGCCTGCAATGGCTTTGTTATGAGCCATGTGGTTTTAATTCTATTCACACACAGGATGGCAGCTATAGAAAACAGACAGACATGTCAGATGAGCAAAATTAAGGACTTTTAAGGACTAAAAATAGTTTTAAAAAAACAAAAGATTCTTAAGATCCATAACCTTGCTGTGGTGTATAAGGAAAAGAAACACACTTTTTTTTACAAATGATTTGGAACTTTTTTATTATAGTGGCCCCCAAGATTTAATCACTAATCAACCGAGATATCTTACCACCTCGTGCAGCACGAAGATAAAAATAAACGATGCAATATACAATAATACTACTCATATGTTGTTTCCTAAGAATATTTTTAATAATCATTATGACAAGACCATATTTCCGAAACTGCTTTCCACAACTCATCAAAAACATATTTTTTTTATGTACTTTCTCCACATAAATTCCCCATTGTTTTTATTATGTAACTCAGCTAATGCGGGCATTGGATCCACAAAATTATAGTTATGGATCACAGTAAAGTTACTGTAACCAGCTTCTTCAAGCTGCTCCATTTTATATCCCTTCTAGCAGCCTGAATAGATCGTTGATACATCTTGTACATGTTGAATAATTTTCTCCATAAGTGTACTAGTGTCTATATTCGAGATCTGAACAACAAAACACTTGCCATCTTCTCGGTATTCAAACATCTCGGTTGATTTAGCCATTCAGTCTCGGGAGCTGCTATAATACGGAAGTACCAATGATTTTATAGAACTAGAATACTGCTTATGTAATTGGTCTGATTTTTTCTTTTTTTGTGCAACTGGATGACACTGCTTATTAGAAGGAAAAATAGATAAATGTCTAAAATAAGAAATGATGGGGAAAAATTTGACGAAAATCATTAATTGCCATAAATTTTCTCCATAGTCTTTTTCGAAATGCCCACATTTGTCATTGAACTTTATGATGTTATTTACACACAGTATCATCCCTCCCCTCTAGACATTACTTAACATGCAATAAATTTAAGCTACATTTGTGCTTTCAAAAGACCATTATGCACATGCTACACAAACAGAATTGGTTTAGTCTAATTGCTTAGCATATCATATTTATATAGTTTAAGATATTTACATAACTTAATATGTAACTTTCCACCCTTTCTATTTTTATTTCTAAATTCTTTAGAATTTAATTATAAAAATACCCTTATGTATTAGTTTCTCAACATATATTTTAATATTAATAAAATCAGCAATGAAATCTTAATACTTACCGATTCAAAAACTGCTCCTCCTTTACCAATATTTCCACTAGGAGTAACTCCTAAACCTCCTATCAGTCCAGCACAAAGGTCACTATGAGGAAAATATTGCATTATTTATATTTATAAATGTATTATTATATTATATATTATTTTTATACATTTATATAAAATACTAAACTATCTCATGGTATTAGCTAATAAAATATGCTATGCTCAGAAATGAAAAACTTATAAAAAATATATATATTAATAGGAGTATAATTTAAATAGCATGAATCTTATAAATAAAACAGAAATATCTCCCTAAAACATGTACACACAAATCTCTATAGTACTCTAATACTAAAAAAGAATAAACATTTCTGTATACAGTTCAGACATACTAGAAAAAATTATTTGTATTTTTCAGATGTATATAAGTTATTAACACATTATAACACACACTATACATAACTTATACAAGTATATAAGTTATGTATAGTGTGTGTTAATATAAATTATTAACACACTTTCACATTAAGTTATAAATTATAAAATTTGTGAGCAACACAATGACGAAATATAATGTAAAAATGGCTATCAATAATTTAATTAAAAAGTATGATTCTTTTCCAACAGGATACAGAATAATGATTTATATATAAAACTGTATACAGCACACACACAAAAATAAATAAATAAAGGTAACTAATAGATACAATATATTTAACTGACAAATTTAATGTCTTATACTGATATTAAATCTTACCTTAAAATGTCTCCATACAAATTAGGCATGACTAAAACATCAAATTTGGAAGGATCTTGAACCATCTATGAGGGGAAGGAAAAAAAAAATTGCTGAAAAATTATTATTGCAAAATGAATTTTTGGGACAGGACAGTATTTAGGTGTTAAATATTCTCATGTATATATGTAATGTGTATCTAATGCATATAAAGATATAATTTATTAATATTGTGACATTTTAATACTTTTTATGCTTGTAGACAATGGCAATGCTGGCTTAATTTCTATTCACAAAGTATCACTTCTGCCAAAGTTTTCTGCACAGATACTATTTTTTGAAATTTCTGTGCTTACTCTAAAACTTTTTATTCAGTAAAAGTGAATACATTTGAATTCCAAAATTAAACAAAAAGGAGAGAATAATTTGTTTTAAAATATAATACATTAATTGTTGAAACTCTCACCGACAACCATGTGATTTGCGCATGCGCGAAGCAAAAACTAAAACAGAACTTTTTTAACTGAACTTTGAGAACTCGTGATGGACGTTTGAGTGAAACATGTAATCCTTCTCTTCTGTGTTATACATATATATTTTAGTTTAGTGATGTGATAGTAAATTAAATATCTTATTATCTTAGAAGCCTCTCTTTTCCCGTGAGTAGTGCCTTTGATGGATGTAATTAATAAAACATTCCCAGATACGCCTTTGGAACGAGAAAGAAGATCGATTAAAAGGTAAGCCTTCTTTATCTTTTATTTTCTAAGAATGATCATGCTATTAATCATGAACACATTAGACACTAATCAACAAATTTAAATATTTATTTGCTACATGGACAAAACAAATAATTTGAACTAAATTGGCTCTCCTGAACATAAAACTGACAATAAAAAAATTATAACATAAAACACTTTAATATGACAGGAATAATGTGGATTCTAGCAAAAGAAGTAAAATATTCAAATTTAGTTAACAAACAATCCTAGTCAAGTTACTAACAAGCTCATGCAACTATGAAGTTTTAGAGAATTCCTGTATTTAGCCCAAAATATGGTAAACTAATGTTTATATAAACTAATTTTTATATTAAGAAGCTCACCATTATCATCAGTGTTGTATTTAACAGGGTTCGTACACATTTCTGCACACGGAAATTAAGTATTTTTAAGGACCATTAATGAAAAAAATTAAGGACCTATCAGCAAATGGGAACTGAATAAATTCAATTAAAAATATTTTCTATGCTGAACTACATGTTTGTAATACCATCCTAAAAATAAAATAGATCCATAAGCAGGATGCATTATTATTAAACATAATTAACATAATTATTAATAAGTTTGAGAATAAAATAAACTTTATGAAATTTATCAAGTAGCATTAAATATTTTATACTCATAATAACTGGACATATTTGAAAGAAGATAGGTGACATTTTATTTAGGTTTTACTAACAGTTAGCTTTATGTTGATTTTTTTTAATGTCTCATTTTGTCACATACTTGCTTAGTCTAGGGCTTTAGTAAATAGTAAGTAGATTTTATGTCAAGCGGCATAGGTTCAAGTGAGAAGTAAAATCACAATCAGCACGATTCAAAACAAAAGACTGGCTGTTGTCGCTGCTCCTGCTTGTCTAGTGAGAGACCAATTGATCAGAACAAACCTGAAAGGCCTGATGCTCAGTTCGCAAGTTTTTGAAAGTTAGATAGGCTCTGTCTGATGCAGTTAGTGCTGTAGCTTCTTGTAGAGTTCCAGGAACTCAGTTAATATAGTCTACGACTCTAATAATCCACTAAAGCACCAGAGGTGACAAGTTGTTTTGCATTATTTTAAGTCTCACTAGATGCAAAGAATAGGTTTTACATTAATTTTTACATTTTTGTGTTTTATTTTGTAGGAAATAATTCACTTTAAAATTCAGAGATAATTTTTTAAGGTAACTAGTTAGTTATAATTAATTAAATTAGGTATTAGACAAGCTTGGTCATTATGGATTTACATGGGCACTATTATATTAAATTTATTTTTTAACAACATTTGTTAAAAAAGCACTATTATAATCACAATCTAATAAAATTTCACAGTTAAAATACATGTAATTTATGGCATTGATTCTTAAAACGATATTAGGATAATTAATTACACATTAAAAGCTACAAAATATTTATGTTTTGTAGCAACAACACTCAACAAAATATTTATGTGCCTTTTTAATTTGAAGCCTTTCCAGACACTTTGGCTAATTTATATCAATTTCCTTCTCTTTAAGCATCTTTTCTAACAAGTTACAAACTTTGTGACAATACGCAAGCCAACGTTCTCACTAGTTTCTGAATACTCTAATGTTCTAACTTGTCAACCTCTCCAAATGTACCTATGAGAGTTTACTTGATCTGGTAAAAATTAATAGTTTCAAACCTCCGACAGAATGTGAAACTCAAATTATTGCTATGTCTGAAAATAACTACAGAGGTTTAACTAAGCTTACTTATTTAAAAAGGACTTAAAACATAAGGGCAGGTTCTTATGCTAACAAAATCAATTACAGCTCGTTGTGATGCAATTAAACAAGAAGAATAAAATTCAAACTAAAAATATGGACTAGTGATCAAAGACTATACAATTTAATTTCATTTTAAGCTGGCTCAGTAACTCTATCGTCATAACAAATTCAAATGTCGGCAGCGACGAATAATTACAAATTATCAGAGCTAGCAGGAATAGAGCACATGGAGGTCAAAAACACACTCGGCTCACACTTCAAAAACCTCAGTTTAAAAAATGTCCTAGTCAGCGGTGCCCAACCTTGTGCTCGCTGATCGTTTTGTATGTGCTCCCCAGCCCGATTAGGTACTATGAACAAAAAATATTTTAAAAATAACCATTCATTTATATTTCTTAATCGTTAATATATGGTAAGCATTTATAGCCATAAGAGATATCTTGCAAGACATTATAAAATAATTAATTGGTGACTCAATGAACTTGATAGCGAACATGGAATCTTATTTCTTCATTCTGATGTTAGATGGCTCAGCAGTGGAAAAGTGCTTCAACGATTTGTAGAATTTTTTTCGCCAATAAAGTAGTTTTTGGAATCCGGAAACGAGAGTTATAAAGAATTGGACGATAATAATTGATTATCCGATTTGGATAAATCAGATGAAAGAAAAACATTTTCACCCATTTTCAGAATTTATCAAGCCATATTAATAACGACAAGGCAATTAAAAGAGAGAAGTACTCGGAAAACCTAAATGAACTGAAAAATAATTGTGAACTCCGCTTCTCTGATTTCCATAAAGTTCAACCAATATTATTAATCATCTCAAACCCATTTGCCGAAATTAATATTTCATATGTCACATAAGATTGAATATTTTTAACAAAAACGTTGTTATTTTGGAAATGTGCTTGCGAGGCAAAGGTGGGCACCCTCCTAGGCCCTGGGTCTCTAGTCCGGCCGATTGGAACAGCAGGTTTACAGTTTAATAATAAGCGTTAATCGTACATGTCTGTGCATTCGAGCTTGCCTTAAATTCTGCTCATGCATCGATTTCAGCGATGTTCATGTAAGACAGAAGGTAATATAGTGTAACGTAAATAACCTGATTCGATGGGGAGGTAGCTAATAAATTAAGTAATAAATATTTTTCAGATGCTAAATTTTAAGGAAGTACGATGTGAATTCCAGGTAACGATATCCGTACATTTGGTTTTTGTTAGTGCTTAGATAATGGATAGAAAGATAATGCCGTTCTGATATTAACCGTGGAGATGAATTTGATTTGGGTTTGAGATAAATGATCATGCCAGATAATTAATAATTGGAGGATGTCTGTAGTTCTAATTAGCAGTAATACGCTAGCTGAATTCTGTTGTGAAGTGTCTACTATATACCTGGACCTATTGTGTTTGTTTGTAGGGTGAAGGAAAGTTAAGGAAGTGTTTTGGAAAGTGCATTTTGGCCTCGTGGTAGGCCAAAATGTGCTCGCGAGAGGCCAAAGGTTGGACATCACTGGTCTAAGTGATTTGTAGTCTGGTTAGAAAATAGAAATGGAAAATTATAGTAAAGGCTGAAATTGTAAACAACTGGGTAATTTACATAATAATATCTATACATATCTTTGAAGAATAATTTTCCTTTCTCTTAATGTATTCAGCTTCTTTCTTCCACATTTCCTTCTCATTTTAGAATTTGTGGATTTAATTAAAGATTTCTGTTATTCTAAAAACACTAAATGCATTTAGAAATTAGAGAAAGCTGCTGATTTTATTTCTTTAGTAATATGAACATTCAGAAGAAATATGAAATATATATGGTAAGGTCTGGTATAGAGCTGGTGTGGCAGAATATTCAGAAATTAGTGACACATCAAGCAATAAAATCTAGAAATCTCAAAACTTTTAGAATTTAAACAGGCATTGGAAGCAGAATTTAGAAAGGCACCGGGCAGCAGAATTTAGGATCCATAGAGATTGCATCAGGTGGGAAAACGCCTAGCGCCATCCCTGTGTATTAAGACATATTAGATGAATCATTTAAATTGCCAGTTTTCAACTTCTTTATTGATAAAAAATTCTTTTCTATAACGCCTGTCCATATGATAAGATTAGAAGTATTTTTGATATTTTCCATGCTTGTGTCTAGTGAAAAGTAGAGAAAATAAAGGGAAGATAAAAATGTTAAGAAAAAGATTCTAGTATCAGAATTAAAACATTCAACTATTATGTTTTCATTGTTCTTCAAGATGTTCTCCAAAAAGTAAGAAATTATGTATTAATACCATGGAGACATTTTTCATTTTGTCACAGTTTTCTGGAATCTACCAGAATCATGGAAAGCTATAAAACTGCCTTCAAATCTTTTGAAACTTTCCAAGCTGCAATGTCTAAAATCCTAAAGAAAAATTACCCCTACCAATTCGGTAACAGCAAAAAGCCAGAAATATTTTTTTTGGGGAGGGGGAATATGGAAGAAAAAATGTAAAATTAATTTTATAGAGAAAACTGATGCATATTCTGAGAATTCTGAAACAATTACACGATAAAACTCTTACCATGAAAAAATTAAAAAGACATTAATTAATTACATAACTATTTTGCTTTGCTATGTTTTGTAAATTGTGCTTTATAGCATTATAACTAGCTTCTTTTTCAGATTCAAAATATTGTATAATAAGTAGCCAAAATGGAACTTCATATTACAACAGTAAAAAATAAAAATGCTTTATTTTAATGTTACATCTTAAATGTAATTTCAATCTATTACCACTATTTTAATGAAATTTATCAATGTTACAACGTTCTAAGAAAATCGTTGAAAAATTCCCAGATCTCGGAATTAAAACTCTTCTATAGAAACTGATCTTAAAATCGCCAAAAAGTTGATAAGACACCAAGTTTAGAGCAGTTTAATAAAAGAATTCACATCCCCAAAAGCAAAAAATTGTTTAAGAGCTCTTTACTAGAAAAAATGAAATAATTTTGAAATGCTTATGTTTCACTTCTTGCTCAGAAACTCTATCCCACCATTTATATTAGAAATAGGAACAAATTATAACCCATGAACGCATTCACCCATTCAAAAGATAACGAACGATATTTGTCAGCAAATTGCCAAAAATATTTCTCCAAAATGCTAATTCACACTCAAAACGGCAGTCGTAAAAACAGACAGAAATTTCAGATGATCAAAATTAAGGAACTTCTGCTGATTTAGACCAAAATTAAGGATTTTTAAGGACCAAAAATCGATTCCAAAAAACTTAAGGGCTTTTGCTCTAAAACTATGAAGTTTTAGAGAATTCCTGTATTTAGCCCAGAATATGGTAAACTAATGTTTATATTGAGAAGCTCACCATTAATCATCAGTGTTGCATTTAAGTCTTTTAATTTTTTAAATATTTAAGCTTCATTTAATTAACTTAATTAACATATGAAAATGTTGATCTACATTATAACAAAAATCACATAAATGATAATATACATTATATGTACTTAAAAATTTACAAAAGTTTTCTTTGAATTTGGGGGTCTACAAACAATTATTCTTTTATTTTTGTATCTGTAAACTTTGAAAACCAACTTCTGAGGTTTTCGGACAAAATCTTTTTCCATTCTTGGCCTAATAATACTTTTTATTAGGGTTATAAGTAACTTAATAAAGTATTTTTTATTAGGTCTTGAAAGATATTATAGTTTTCCAACTACAGTGCTTTTCAAAAACAAAAGTATCTTTGGTTCTTAGATGCACATTTTTTTCTTCAGTGTTTATAAAACTTTTCATGCTTTTTGGTAACACATGCACACAAAAAGAGCAATCTAAAATCTGTCCCTGTATTACTTCTATAACAATGGAGGCTGAAATAGGGGGCAAAAATCTAGTTAACTAGTGTTATCATAGTACCTACAGACAAACATAAAATTAAGATGAAATTCTACATTAGAGGTAAAGCATACTTACATTTAAGCATACAGTATCAAGATACATTTCTTCATATTTGACATTAGGATGTTTTTCTGCTACTTCTCGGCAGCATTGAAGGAATAAACCATCAGACATTCTCCTAAATCATATTAAAAAAAGTTACATCATTTTAAATTCACAATGGAACATTCCAACTAAAGCTGGAATGTTAAAAAGAAATCTGCTGTACTAGAAACAAAGAAATTTGCATCTGGGACAGTGCTATTTATCTTAAGTAATTGGTTCAAAGGGGCTTTGTCCCTGAGGGACTAATGTTTTCTCTTTTGCGATTTTGCGTCGAAACAATATAAATGGAAGCATCACTTTTCAAACTGTTGCCATCAAATATTATCGCCCTGTGTTATATTTGAAGAAATTAAATAATGAAGAATCTGCATAAATGTATGTGTTTCTTGCATTGTGATAAAACAACGGTACCTAGAGCCATCCAATTTTGAATGACGTAATCCTACTGCGAATACAGGCATCTGAAAGCCCAAATTTGAAATTAGTTTTATTATTGATTTCATATTTTGTAAAACTTTAACGAATTTTTGATTAACAAACTCAAGGATTTCAAAGCAATGGCAAGGTTGTACAGAAAAAAATTTTTTTTTTTTTTTTAATCTCCAGCGTGTGAGATGCACATTAGAAATTCTAAAGATATGCTCAGTTCAAAATTATTTTGCGATATTGTTCTTGAACTGAATTTTATGGTTTAAGTGTGAAGAACATGATATTTAAAAAACCAAAGCTAAAACACAAAATGTTAAAAAAAGCCCCTTTGGATGTAATTTAAAATTTGAAACCTTTCAGATTTTTAAAAATTTTCATAATAACTAATTTTATTATATGTTTCTTTGTTTCATTATTTTCCACAAGAATCTTATTTTGTTCGCAGTAAATAATGTTAGATAACAGAATAGATATATCATGATATAACTAAGAGTTGAAAAGTCCATTCTGTCTACTGCAGGAAGATATTTTATTTTACTGTAACAATTAAACAACAGTGAAAGTACAATAGATAACGAAGATTTGTGGACTTTATCTGTAAAACAAAGTTGGTTTCATAGTTCAGAAACAACTTCAATACATGAGACACATATTTAAGGTAAATCAGGTCCTCTAAGCCATATAACAAAATATATACTATACCTGATTAAATGCATTTCAATTCTTAAAATTACTGTTATTCTCCCAAAGACTTTAAGAGGAAGGAAAGGAGATTTTATTCTTATGTTACATAAGGAAATTTTATTCTTATGTTAATAAACAAAGAAAATAATTATTTAACATTTCAAAACTTTCTTATTATTCTTAGTTTTCTTTAAATTAAGTTCAGACACAATTCCATTATCCTTTAACCCACAACTTATTTTTTGCTGCAATCTCTAATAGTAACTTGAGAAAAACTTCTTTCCTATCTATTATGAGTTAACAAATAGTCAAAATGGCTACTATTTGTTAGCTTAGTGCTTTAAAACTTAACATAAAACCACATTTTTGCAGCAAATTAATCCAAAATACTAACATGACTTTTCTTCAACGAGAAATCACTCATAAAATTTACTTGGAAATATTAGAAAAAGTAGCATGTCTGTGGCATATGTTTCTCATACTGAGTCCATACAATAGATCTGGCTGTTAAAATGCCTATTACAGTAGCCATATGGCACATCTGTCAGAAATAAAATGAATGCTCTGTCCCTACATGAAATGATAACATTCGTATTGTAAAAGGATGTAATTTTCATTTAGACATGATTTTCACAGCTCAGTGACCGTTTTCATGGATTCTCTTTATTCTCCTAGGAATTTTTTTTTTTAAAAAAAAGAGAGTTTTCAGATTTTATATTATACCCAAAGGGGATTTGTTTTAATGTTTTGTGTGCTACCTTTATTAAATATCATGTTCTTCACAATTAAACCATAAAATTCAACCTGACAGGAATATCACAAAATAATTTTAAAAGAGCACATCTTCAGAATTTCCAATATCCAATTTTGTGCGCTGGAGGTAAAAGTCCCCCTCCCATACAGTGTTGCCATTGCTTGCTTTGAAATCATTGAGTTTGTTAATCAAAAATTCATTAAAGTTTGACAAAATCTGAAACAGATAATAAAACAAATTTTTGGGCTTCCAGATGACCATATTTGAGTGGAAGACTGCGTTATTCAAAATTTGATGTCTCTAAGTGCTGTGGTTTTTTCACAATGCGAGAAACAGACATACATTTATGCAGATTCTTCATTATGTAATTTCTTTAAGTATAATACAGGGCTCTAATATTGAGTGGCAACAATTTGAAAAGTGAAACGCTGTTTGTAGTGAACCAATGGAAAACGGCAGAATGAAATTAATAGCCCTTCTGAGCAAAATTGCCCTTTTGGGCAAATAATAATGTCTATTATTTGAAAAATGAAAACATTCTATTATATTCCTGCAAAGTAACAACAATCTATAGCGCATGCATCTGCACAACTGTCTGAGGCTGATGCAACTAAATACAAGGTATGAAAATATTATTTTCAAATTACGGGAAACCCCTCAAATTCTGAGCTTACACTCTACAATCACTAATATATTGGTAGATAATCTTGGTTAACAGCAATAACAATATTTGATTTACATTGGTTTCCAGATTCATATGACTTCTTTTCTGATTTTCTTCCATTATTGCTTTATCAATAAATTTTCCTTGGCTAACTGTGATACATCTAAAATTTGAAACTTAAAACAGAGGTTGTTTATAAGTTGAAATGTTTGATGGAAGGGTAATAAATTATATGTTTTCCTCATTTCCCCACAAGAAAAGTAAAAAGTTCTTTAAAACCTTGCAAAATAACAATAAAAAATAAAATAAAATAAAATAAAAATCATCCATTGTTAGCACCATATATAGTATGAAAGAAAGGGCAACTTTTCAGGAGATGGAAAGAAAAAAAAAAAAGACTGGATTGTCTTATTTAATTTAAGCAAGGCACATGAGAACTATCTGTCTAAGCTCCTCCCAAATTTTGAATTAAAATACTATAAGATAAAAAAAAAAAAAAAAAAAGGAGAAGAAAAGAAAGCTTAAGGATTTTAGTAATACAAGAAATATTTGTAAATGCAATTTCCATTTTCTTGTCACATAAAATGTTTTGGTAATGGCCATATATTATTATTGCACATGGTGTTTTAATTTAAAAGTGGGCATTTTCTAACAAATGATGTTTCAAATGATGTTTTATGTCTAATCATTATTAAATTGGCTCAGATGAAAAATCAAATGTGGTCTTTATATCTTATTTCTCAATACAGAACACTGAATTTCTAATTTTAGGCATGATATTTGCATTAAAAATAAATCTTTATCATCTTGCATATCTTTTCTGATGTTACTAAAAATAAAGATTAAAAATATAATTCATGAAAAGATAGCCTATTAATCCTAGAAATAAAAAAAATATTTAAATCAGGAAAGAAAAGAAAAAAAAATTAGTTGTCCAGTACTTACATAATATTTGCTTTGTGTACAGCTGTCACAGTTTTTCTATTGTTCTGTGTTGCATATTCAAAAGCATACTCAGCTACCCGATGAGATGCATTTTTCGTGATGAGTTTTATGCTTTGTACTACTCCAGGAACAATCTTTTAAGAGATTACAAAAAGTAAAAGCTTTTCAGCAATATGAAATAAATCAGTCAAATAAATGCAAAATGTTTATAAAATTCAAAATATATAAGGCTTAGCTATGTATATCATTAACACGCATTGTAAAGATTTTTAAGTTTTACTAACGTTTATTTTGAAACTTTACTGTCCTCTCTTATTTTCCACTTCCGTCCAGAATAAACACGATTAGTTTTAGTTACGCAAATTGAGCTTGCAAACTGTTTATTTAAGTTGTGGCTTTTAGTCAAGAAGAAGTCAGAGAGAGAGACTTCTCGCTACCTTACCTTACATGCACTTTTTAATCAGCTGCTGTCCGCCCTTAAGGCCAGAATTTAGTTCTCTTGATACTGATGACGTATTGCAGTTTTCCCGCATTCTGCGTACTACATAAAGTAAGATTAAATCGTAAAGATTAAAAGGCCAATCTTCACATTACCAGTCTTTGTAAAGTATCTGAGTTTAGTTCTTATTTAATTTAATTAGTTTTAGCTCTTATTTTTATGTTTCAGACCATAAGTACTGGTCTTTGTATCCTGAAGCACAAGAACCTCTGTAAACTGTGTAAAGAATAAAGGGTAATTAAACCCTTCCCATGTGTGTCGTATCTTCTACACCTGCTTGAACATAGTTTAAAGCAGCAGTTCTCAACCTTTTGACTAACGCGTACCATCTAAACAAAAACTGAAAACCTTTAGTACCACCACTACCACTCTTGAACAAAGCTCAGATTGCATAAATTTACGAGACGAGTGTTAGAGAAAAAAAACTCAATCAGGATGTTGGGGTTTTAATTTTTGACTTTAATAGTTAAAAATACTTTGCTTCTTTGTGTACGATCTATTTTTCTCTTGCACATGACTGGTGGTATGAGAACCTCTGGTTTAAAGTACACCCCCTGTTCTTACTTAGGACTCCAGTACATTCGCAAAAACAATTAGAATAAATAGTAGTCCTTATAACATAATGATTCAATAGCCAGTAAGCACTGAAATATATATTTTAGTGAATTTATATAAATTTATGAGAATGCAATGTAAATGCAAAAAAATGTGATTTACATTTTTATCGTTAATTTTTATTAGTTAACAATTATATCCACTGGACAGCTTTTAATTTATTGGTTTCCAAATGAGAACCATTAGTGTATCTGCAGAACATTGAATATTGAATAGCAGAACATTGGAATGCCTGTTTTTGTACTATCACAATCACAAGTCAGTATTACACTTATTGTTATAAAATTGCACTTTTCCTACACTAAAAGAAATTCCATCATTTTGAAACAATAGTAATCAGAAATTAATAGAAGACAATATCAAGGTTTAAATAACAGAACTGTAATATGAAATAGATTAATATATTTAATTTGGAGTTATTCACTGGTAGACTGCAGCTATTATACATGATGAAATGGTATGACCTAATGACAGATCACACTGTCTCGGGTTTTCAAGTTTTTATTTTTAAGAATATAAATGAAGCGTACTTATAATATTGAGAAACAGCAGTAGAAGTGTAAAACAACATACTATAATGATAACTATTTTCTGAAAAATTTATGGATTGGAAGAAATGAATTTAAAAAGAAACATACAGTTTAGACTCTTCAGTTGGTCAACTGATCATTATTTCGCAAATAATTAAAAATAAAAGTCAATAAGATAATAAAATTTTATGAATTTTTTAAAATAATCATAGCTATTTCTTATGATCTGGACATTAAGTGATTTCATTTTCTTTGGTAACTGGAAGAATAACACTCTTTACATTATTTTTTGTTGCTCCCATCCCAATGTTAATACTCCTACTAATAAAACTGCAAATAACTGATCTTTTCCTATATGTTTGATGCATTAGTAAAAAGACTGTGAATGTAAAAACTGATAATCTTAATTCATCACTGAATAGTACAAAACTATTAACAAAGCAAAAACTAATTGCTTTAAATAAGAACTAAAAAATGGCATAATTATAAAGCAGATACCTGGAAATGGGCCTGAGTTAAGCATTTTTAAAGCCTATCACATTCCAAAAATTTCAGTCCTTTAGTTAATGAAATTAATTTCTATTAAATTCTCAATAATTTCCAAATTCTAATATCTTAGATTCTGCATGTTTCATTACTATTTCTTCCAATATATGTTAGTTTTCTCTTTGCTTTACTGCTAATTATATATGTTAGAATTGATATGAATTTAAGGCTGCATTTTTGGTCTAATTTTATATTCAGCTTCTTATAATTTTCTTCGAAATGTAGAAAGCTTTATTAGATTTTTAATATAAAAAGATCAAAGAATTTTTAGTATCCTTATTAAAAAATATTATTAAACAGTATTTAATAAATTCCTTGCAATTGAAAATCATTCTACATCTACTAACTTTCCATCATAACCGTTTTTTTTTATTGTTTTAGTAATCATACTTCAATTTACAATATCATATTATTATAATAAAATATGGTGATATTAAAAATATGGTGTTAATTATAATAAAATATGGTGTTTTTAAAAAGTACTTCCACTGGTATAAAATAAATTGATGCTTATAATATTTGTACGAGATTATCTTGATGGCTGCTTTTCCAATAACTAAACTGATTGTGGAGAAACATAACTATTTTCATCATGTTAAATAGTCACTGTCCAAGAGTTTTAACAATACAATATACTGAAGAAGAATTAAACATGTTGTTGAACTTTAAAGAATGCCAGCGATATAGCTCAGAACACAAGATCTCTGAGGAAACGATACATCACTTGGAGCTCTGCAGATACACTAATGGTTCTCATTTGGAAACCAATAAATTAAAAGCTCTAATACTTTGTACACATATTTTGAAACAAAGATATTTTTTATGTTTTAAATCCAGTTTTCTCAATTCCCATTATGTTAAAACAGACAGTGGTTTCTTAGATATCCTACAGAAATAATTCTAATTAAATTATAAAATATGTGCTAAGCCTTCTTCCTGAATGTGAAAGGTAAAATTTAAATATTATCATGCAGTAAATTACAAAAGTTAAGAGTAGAAACCTAGTAAAAAATTATACATAGAAAACATACTGAAATACACACTTTGTTCTTAATTTGTTTTTACCTCATGTTCAATACCACTGTATTCACCTTCTGTGTTCTCTCTAATAGTCACAACATCTACATCTTTGTAAAGTGTTTCTACTCCATCTATAGAACGGCAAGGTCGAACATTTGCATATAGATGGAAAGCTCTAAAATATAAATAGTTTTCAAATTAGCATTTTTAATACAGCAGATTTATTACAAATTAATTTCAAAATGAAAGTTGAGATAAATTATTTTGAAACGGTTAGTAACTTTTTACTGACACTAAAGTTCTAAACCTTTAAAAAAAAAAAAATCACACATATATAAACATTATAGAAATGTTAAAAAAAAAAAAAAGAAAGAAAAAAAAGAAAAAAAGAGAGAGAGAAGAGAAGAAGAAGAAAGAAAGAAAGAAAGAAAAATGAGTAAAAATACAAGCCTTTCATTTCTGTTTTACTTCTGTATGCATTAGCAGAGTGGATATAAGATAAGTTTACCTACTCAAAGCATTCCATAGATTTATGCAAATACCTTACAGAAGTGGTCTCAAACTCGAACTGATTGATCTAAAAATAGCTGATGGGCCAGATTTTGTTTTTTACAAAATGAAAATGTTTTATTAACCCCCCAAAAAAAGTAATTTAAATTCCACTTATTAAATTTTATAAAAAGATACATAAAATAATAATAACAACAATATTATGATGAAAAACGTTCACATTTATATTTTATTTATTTTCTGTCTGAAAAGTTTGGTACCCACAAGACATTTTTGATGGTTACACATTATACTGACAGCTAAATATTAAATTTTCAGCCTGACATTTATTTAAATAATTTTAACATGTTTAACCCTTTGATGCACGTTATATTATTTTTATAATTTGTTTTTAAACTAAAAACTCTAGAAATTGAATATTATGATCCTATAGACAAGTAATATATGAATTTTAAAAAAATCTACTCTTGCCCATTGTTCTGTGGGTGGTGGTCGCACTGTAAAACCAGTGCACGTCTAGGACATTAAACTCAATGGGTAGTAGGGGGAAAAAACTTACCTTTTTCCGCGCACGTTTCCAATAAATGATGAAATTTATGAATTTAAAAAAAAGTATGTAAGAGTTGCATTATATGTAAATTTTTTACATTATTTTACAAAGTAAATCATCAGAAAAAATTAAAAAATAAACATTTTTGTCAATTTTTTTATAGCAGTGAAAATATAAGTGCCTACATAATAAGGATGTTCAGATAAATGGATAAAAAAACTCAGTAAAGTAAGGATAAAAAAAAACTCAGTCTCTTTTTTTTTTTTTTTTTTTTTTTTTTAAAAAATTTCAAAGAATACATTTCTTTTTGTGGAACTGTTCAAAGCATGTTTTGTCTTTTTAGTACATGCATAGCCCCACACTGCACATTTCGCATATGTATCTTGTTCTATGATGTTTCTTCCTTGTGCTACAAAATGTACAATTCCTGGATCTTCTAAATTTCACTGGCATATGGCCAGCATTACTTAGTTCCTTTTCATCTGGCACATGAACTTTGTGGTTTTTTATGTTAATGGAGGGGAGGAGGCTTGGTTTTGATTTGAGTGACTGATGCTCATCAGTCACTCAAATTTTCTTCTCATTAATTTCAACAGTGAAAAAAAGCTATTCATGTATTCCCAAAGAAAATAATTAGTTTTGGTTTAAAAATTCATAAGTATCTTCTAACACTATCTATCTTGATATATAACACTTATTTATTTTTTTTTTGATAGGTACGATTAAAAGATAGTAAAATATGTATCTTTAATTTTTAAATAAGACTGATATCACACTGTAAAATAATCAGCTTTATTTATAGATTTTCTGATACGTTGTTCATTTTTAACGTAATGAAAATAATGTAAACATTGGACTTCAAATAACTAAAAATTTTTACAACAAATATATAACTGAAATGTATTCAGAGGCTGTATGCAGCCTGCCAGTTTTAGAACACTACTATACAGTAATTAATTTGGATCTTGCACTATTTAAGGCACAACCACTTCGATTTTTACAAAAAAAAAAAAAAAAAAAAAAAAAAAGAATAATGAATAATAACTGCAGGAATTATTTATTGCTTACTTATATACTTTGTTTTAATTAGGTTATTTTTAGTTTTATTTATTTTATTTTGAATTTATTCTAAAAATCAATCAAACCTTCTTATAGGCGAATTTTTGTATCTTTTGTTGTGGAAGTTTCGTGGTGATTGCTTTAATTAAAACAAATTGTTTCTTTCAGACTTTCAGTAGCAAATTCTAAAATATTCAAAAATATTCTTGCAGAAATTTTACCACAGTTACTTCAGTAACATAAAAAAATATGATGTAATGTCTATACATTGGAACTCTGAATTCAACCAAAAGAAAACATATGAAAATGGCAACACTACTTGTTAAAACTGAATTTAAGACATGCAGAAAACATTTATGCCAAAAAATATTTAATTTCTAAAGCCATCATTAAGAGAATATATCGCACAATGCCATTTCATAGAAAAATTAATAATAGAGAATGCCTCAGAGTTAAAATTTTCATTGTCCTGTACAAAGTTCGAAATCCGAACTCGTCGGGACTTCAACAATTCCGAATTTTTCGGGATATTAGATCATCAGTTTAATTTTAGTAAGATGGCATCTAGAAATTATAAAACTAAAAATATGAAATCATAATTTATGAAATAATGAAGTATTAATGATCTAAACAGTATCAAAATTTACAAAAAAGCTTAATATTTATTTGTTTACCTTATTAAACATTTCTTTCAATGTAAGTTGTTTAAGCTGCTTCGTTTTTTGTGCTAATACATTCTTTTTAATTCTGTAGACAGACATAATCTCTTGTTTAGTTACATTGTTGAAGTCCTGTAACTGCTGTGTCGAGAATTCCGACTAACTTGTCAATCGAATTTTGTTCGTTTTCAGTAACTTCTATGTCATTTTTTTCATTATCGGTAGTGGTATATTCTGGATTTAGAACCTTTATTTTCTGGATCTAGATTACTACAGATTTCACCATTTATTAATTGATTGATGATTGAGAAGCACTGTCATCACAATGAAAAACTTCTTTTATATCATTTTCATTTATTACCGCTTCTCCACATTTCTTTACAAAATCGTTAACTGGAAAATTTCACCTTTGTTTTGCAATATCCGAAAACCTTTAAATCCGCTGCTATTATCATCAAATTTAGCTATCGTTCACTATACATATTTGGCTACGTATCATGAGTTTGGCAACTAACGACAGTTGTTCTGTTAAATTTTATTTTGCTTCTATCTCGCCCTGAGACAATTGAGCCTGAATTGTATTAGTTTAGTTTTTATTATACTTATGTCTATTTCTTGCACATGCTTAAGGTTTATCAGAGTTCTTAATAAATAAATTCCCACATATACTTAAGCCTTATTGAGGGCTGGTGCTAGATATCTTACTGCCTGATGCAGTCTCTGTGGGTCCTAAATTCTCAACCCATTGTGGCAATATGAGCCTTGGCACTGGTTCTGGGCTTAAGTGAAAAAAAATTAGTTATTCTTAATTCAAACAGACCTAAATGACCTTTGAGTCTATGAGTGTCATCAACAAAATCTATTTTTAGTATATGGAAAAAAATTTTTGTTAAATTTTTCCTTGTCAAAATTTTTTAGCGCATTTAACTTCAATCTGTAATCATAACCAAGCGTAATGTCAACATAAAAGGTTATCATAGCTCCTTTATTATTTAATTACTAACATAAAAAAATTGTTTAGGCATTGCTGCATCAGTCATTACTCACATTGTCATGTGTTGATAAACATGTGGTGATGAAAGGAAAGTATAATAAATAATGATTCGCCAGGTTGGCGTCAGATCAACGATGTATCTATGTGGAATGGTTTGGTTTGAGATGTGTGCCAAGCAGATATGCAGCAACGGAGCCAAATTACTGACCGTACAAGCTAAAATGATTGTTTCTTCAATAACAAGGTATTTTATTTAGTGTCGAAGTGAAATCAAGAATCGGGACTCTCCAGATGTTTTATTATGCACGGTGGGGTGATCAAATGCGCATGTGTAAAGCCTAAAAGAAAAAACGGTGGTGGTGGTTTAGACCGGATAATGGACGTCTGGATTTCGAACTTTGTACTGTATATACATACAGCAGAGAAAAATCAACTCTTTATATAAGAAAAATGGAAACCTAAAACTTAAAGGAAGGAGGAAAAAAATTATCTGTTACTGAATTAAATACTGCTTGATGTGGTGACTATTTCTGTGGATCAATAATTCCATTTTATAAAGAGCAGTGACAAAATGTTGCAAATTTTAAGGAATATTCCTACCGTATAACAAGTCAGACCGACCATTACGACTGCCAGATTAGAAACTCTCCACAACAGCTACTGTTTTTTAAGCCTCAAGTGACCAAAAACTGCACACAGCAAGATGGAAATCAACAAGGAAACAAGCAGAAAATAAAAGATTAAGTAAGCTTTTTTAGCGACATATTATAGCACTGCTGTACAAGTCTTGCAGTAAGAACAAAATGGTCAGAAATAAATTTCATGTTAATTCCACCCTTCCTCAGAGCCAATAACATCTTTATCAATAATATCGATAAGTAACATCTTCTGTTATGCATTAATGTTGCTAGCATTTGATTCAGAAAACAACTTTCGTTTACCTGCTGCAATTAATAGGTGCAAATATGCTTACTTTCATTTTATTGTGTAATGTTTTTCAATAACAGCATTTGTTCATGATCAGTACTATCTCTAAATTACATTTAAAGCAGTAACTGATAATGGAATTTTTGACACAACAGAAGGCTGCAGGTCAATCGAAATTTACAAATATAAAATAGCAGCTCACTGGGATCATTACATATATTTGAAAAATGCCTGTCAGTGTGTTCAATATGTTAAAAGTCTGGCAAACCCACTGCCAGATGAGATGATTGCGGTTGATGCACAAGGATCAGAACCATACATTACAGTGACACATAATGATAATCACAGAGGAATGGAATCTGCACCCTTTTAACAATCTATATTTGGTACAATCTAATTTTTTGGTTATTTCCAATATTAACAGACTAATACTTCTCATTTGAACTGAAGTTGATCACTGTATATGAGTTGACAGTAAACCATATGCTTGCTTCAAGAAGGGAATAAAAAAGTGAATAAAATTATTGTGAACTGTTATATTTTCCACCTTGAAAAGCACAACTTAGGCTAGGATTAAAAAGAAAAAACTTTTGGATAATTTCACTTTATCTGGAAGACACTGATACTGTGAATAACTAATGTACATTTGTAAAATAAAATATGGAATGTTCTTCATAGAATGTGGGTGATCATTTCATTCCAATAGATTATTAGATACACACATATTTCAAAAACCAGGTCTAATTTCTTAATCACAGTAAACTCAACACATAAACAGCCCCAGATTGATTGACGATCTACATTAGACGTAAGCCTTTTCTTATTTAATATTTTCAATTTTAAACAGACCAAATAACATACGCATTTGAAAAAAATGTACCACAGTAAACAGTGACTATGTTTAAAAAATAAAGCACACGGTTTAAGAGAAATAATTTTCTCTTATTTTGATGCATGTTTCCTTCTTTTCCCCTCAAATTTATCTGATGTATTTTCAAATTTCAAAAATAAGTGTTAATATTTAACATTAATACTTATTTTCCCCATCTGTCTCCTCTTTCAGAGAAACTACAGCTGTTAGTGTGGTCAATGTTAAAACAGTTATCTTCTTTAATATTTTTTACTTATATCCTTAAAAGCATATAGTATTTAAAAGCTGAACCTTTATAATAGAGGTCCGCCCTTAATAATACAGTCAATACCAGCACAATTATGTTTAAAGAGGTAACATGAAGCAGTAATGATCATTCTAACCATTTAATCACTTGTAATATAAATGTAATATATTTATTTTCAAAATAATTAAATAATAATTATTAAAAAAAAGGGGGAAGGGGATCTTACTGCCTGATTGCCAGATTAAGAGATCTATGGCCTTTGCCAATTGGCGTTGCTAAAGGGCCTTTTAAGCCAATTGTGTTCTTGTTGATGGAATCTATAGCTCTTTGAGGGATTCCCATTTTTCCATCAGGGCCTTTAACAGGCGTAACATCTTCAACTTCCCACTGAATAGGTACCTATAAGATATATACAAATATCCTTTTAATAATTATTAAATGCATAAAAATAAATATAACATATATGAGTAAAAGGGGATAGATAATAGAATAATGGGATTTCAATAATTACGAATGCACAATGGAAATGAAATTTATTGATGGAATAATTTTAAGTTAAATTGAAATTAATAGAAATTGAATTAATAGAAAGTTCTAAAAAATAAATTTAAGAGATTAAAATTAATAATTTTAAATTAATTAATTTTTAATCAGTTTAAAGGAAGGTTTTCAAAAACCTTCCTTTAAACTGATTAAAATATAATCAAGATATAATCAAAGATAAAATAAATTATTATAATAACCAATTATAATCAAGATTTTAGATATTTTTCAACATCAATATTTTCATTTAAATATTGTCTAGAATGCCTGCTGGAAACAGACAAAATATAAAACTGTGTTGTTTTCGCTTTACTATAAATAATATGAACCAAATACAACACATTAATAGATTTTTTTTTTTTTTTTTTTTTTTTTTTTTTTTTTTTTTTTTTTTTTTTTGCCATGTTATAACATGAAAACTGAATTTACTTTCAATTTCATCTGAGCAGATCAATAGCAAAATACACACACACATTCCTATAGCCTTTGATATATTTTAAGTTACTACAAGATAAAATTCCTAAAAGTACTTTCTCAGTTTTCTAAATAGTTCTCCTAGACTTCAGTATACTTAGTACAATGATCCATTAAGCACTGGATTCTAGATGAAAGAAAATGTTTTTCGCAACCTTCAAAGAAGTTCCTGAATAACATCTTTCAGATTATCATTGTTACAATGTGAACCATGCAAATTTGCTAATAAATAGATAGTCTTTAAAAAGAAATCATAGGAGTGAAAATGGCAGCACTCCTGAAGTGCAACAATGATGTGGGTATAATACTTTCAGAGCAGTAACTATCTGACACATTGTGCAGATACTAGTTGAAGAATGTTTTATTGTAGTTACAGATAGAAGTGTGGCTCAGAATTATATAAGAATGATAGCTTTCTCTGGCAAGATGGTAGCCAATTTTCATGGCTGATGAGATCATATGCAAGAATCTAACAAAGTATTTGCAGAGTGCCAGCCATGGATTGGTGGGTTGTACCTACTGTATTAATTGTGGCACAAAAATTAGTTTACACATATTCATTATACATGTTGAGCCCTAGGGAAGTTCTGAAGCTGGTAACAATATGTGACCTAAAAATTCAGTTCTAAAGCAGACTTACAGATTCAAATGAACAAGAGGAAAAACACATAAAAATTTATTTTCTATGTTTATTTTCCCTACTTTAAAACGGGCCCACCAGAAGAGCAGTGAAGATGTTGAACACTGTTAGTTCAGTCCAAGGTATCCTGCAAACCGGCTGGGTGCATGGGCATTTTCGTGGTTTTCCTCATGTGTAACATGTATATGAGCCAGTTTCCCTAGAAAGTCCTATACAAAGGCATCCCTTCCCTTAGGCAGATAATCGTTGAGGCTTTGTCTTAACATAAACCAAACCTTACTTAAAAACAAAATTATTATCCTACTTTATTAAAAAAAAAGATTAATATTTCCTAGTTAAGGAGCACCATAAACTATAAGCAATATTTGAAATGTGAAAAACATAGATTGGGCAAGTAAATTTGCTCATTCTGGCAACTCAGTAGCTGCTTTAACAAAAAAGTGGCAAATTATCTGACAATCTTTAAATATGGCACATTGTAATAATTTAAGGCTATCTTTTCAAAGATTTTAATACTTGTTGCTAATCAAAACAAAAACAAATTTAAACTTTTGACACAAAAAAAGGACTGAATACTTACTTCTGCATATTTACTTTACTAATAAGAAAACTGATTAGGAATGCACTTTGTTTTTACACAATAACATTTAGGAAAACTATATAAATTTTTTCAGCATAGTTTTAAAACTTAAGATTAAATCAAAATTATCCAGATTTATGCAAAAATATTCAAAATTTTATCTAATTCCTTACAATGTTTGTACATGCAAAAATTTCAAGACAATCACTAACTTTTTTTAATAAATTTAAATTTTGTTATGCATTTAAACAAATTTTAACGAGATATTTCCCTTATTTGTTAATAGACCTCTTAAAATCTTAAAATGTAATATAAATTCAACAAAATTTTAGGCAAATTATATTTTTATTCAAATGAAAGGACAATAAAGAACTTCATACAGTCAAGGAAGGTTGAAGTGAAAGAACTACGAGAAGCTCTGCTTTAGACTATTCATATTTGTTCACATATTTAACCTCTTTGTCGTCCGTTACGCACCTAGTGCGTTCAAGTGAAACTTCCACAGGGCGACTGTAACGCACTACAAGCGTTCATCTACATTTTAAAATGCTTTCTAAATGTTTACTTGTTTGAGTTTTTATTTTATTTGTTCTAATACCTCCTAGAGGGCAGCAGTAATCACACGTTCTATTTCTAATAGACTTTGCCCCGGGTTTTATGAATATTCGTACCATTTTACATAAGATACAGGACAATGAGAGATGGCTTCAATGTCTACTCAGCAGAAAAAGAGAAAAAATGAGGTTGTGAATTGGAAAGACAAGAAGGATATACGTTTGATGAATACAGTCCATAATAACTGGACGATTGATGTTGGAACACCGAAAAGAACTGTAAAAAAACCAATAATTGTAAGATTACAACAACAAAATGGGAGGAGTGGACTGCCTGGAACAGATGTTATCAAATTGTCCTGCAGTTAGAAATAAGCAGAGATGATATTATTTTTCCGTTATGCTCTATTTCCTTATAATTTTACTTAATATTCATTGACATTCATCCACTACAAAAGTTATGTATGGAAAGTTATGATGTACAGAGAAAGCAACATTATACGCTATGAAAAACAGATGGCCGGTGGGAAGAAATTTTCGCGGACTGGAGAGGACGGCGAAAGTGTTAAGGCAAATATTATACCAACTACTTGACAGTGCTGAATCCCAATAAGAACAACTATTACAAATATCTAAAGAAGGACTGTCTACTAATATGTAATATAATTTATGACGCATAACTAAAGGAATTTATTCTGTGAAACTGATCCACTTTTATCTTATTTATAAAGAAAAAAATGGAAGAATTCCACAGAATTAAGTGAAGAAGGTGTGATTTATTTAATTACAACAAAACATATAACTATTATCTAATACTTAAAAAGCAGGGCTTCCTTTGTGGAAGACTTTCTATGGGGAATTGGCTTGTATCTACATTATGCAAGGATAGAATCATATAAGTGAAGTTGGAATGCCTTGCTTTATCAATATCTGTTGAAGGGGTCAATACACATAGTTTTATTTTTAAATATCAAGGTTTCACCGAACAAATTACTCTTGCTTTCATTATATATATATTTCTATAAAGAAAACATGAGCATCCTATATCTACCTCTGTATGCTGCATATACTGCATTATACCACATATTGCAAACAAAGAAAACAAATTTTAAAAAATACGAAATGTTTCTACTGACTTATTTTGAAGCACTGTAAAACTGAGAAATCCTGAAACACATCATGGCAAATTACAATTTAAGGACTAATATTTTATAAATTTATATGGAATGGGATAAAATGTACATATACAATATTAAAATGAATAAATTTTGACCTAATTAAACTAACAAAATGATTTCTTATTTGTTTCAAGATTATTTACCTTTTTGTAAGATTAATCTGGGACAAAATTTTGCTAACATTTTTGCGTGGCCTTTCTGCGCTGGAGCCAGTATGGTTGAATTGGGCAACAGAATTTAGGGTGGCAAAAGTTTTATAATTTAAGAAGGAATTGGATAGCAGGATTTATTCAGCAGAGACTGCACCCGGCAAAATGCCTAGCACCAGCCCTGCATTCTTCTACAGAAGTCTGAGATCCTGAATATTTGAGGATTCTAGATTTTTTAGCATCAAATTAAATCTAGTAAAATGATATATACACATGGCAACATTGGGGCTTCACTTATTATTTAGGTCAGCTAGAAAAATTCTAATCCCCTCACAACTACTCAAGGACCGAAAATGTGAGCCTGGTTGACCAATCCATTGCCATTGGCTATGGAACGATTCGCTAGCCAAATGATGCTTGAAAGTGACATTCAGGAAATCTCAGTTAATGGGTAGAAAAATCACATTTATGGCAGATCTGCTGTATTTTGCTGAGTATTATATTCTCCATTCCTAAATTTTGTAAGCGGGAAGTCGATTTTTTTTTAAATTAAAATTTTATTTTTAAATTTATTTATTTATTGGATTGTCCAGATTTCAGACTTTACACTGCATACACTAAAGTTAATGACTTCAATAACTACAGCTACTGCAAACACAAAGGACAAAGTTGTGGTACTCTTATGCACATCCACCACTATAAGTAATTTCCCATGACTACAGTGCATTTTTGCCACTATTGACAGAACTGGTGGAATCATTATTGAAGAATACAGTCAAAAGTCGTTAATCCGGACTCGTTGGGACTTCGGCGATTCCGGATTATAGATCATCTTTTAAATCTGGTAAGATGGGCATGCAGAAATTATAAAATTAAAAATATGAAACCATAAATTATGAAATAAAGAACAATTATGATCTAAAGGGTATCAAATTAAAAAAAAATAAAAAAGCTTAATATTTATTTGTTTACTTTATTAAACATTTCTTTCAAAGTAAGTTGTTTAAGTTGCTTCGTTTTATGTGATAATACTTACCCTTTAATTCTATAAACAGACATCATTTCTTGTTCATTACAAAGTTTCCGTGTTCAAGTGCTATATTGCTGTGTCGAGAATACCGACTATTGTCATCGAAATTTTTTCGTTTCATAACCTCTGTGTCCTTTCTTCACTATCGGAGCGAATTATAATGACAGAAATTGATTTAAATCATATCAAAGATGGAGTACACGATTGAAATACTACTTTAGTAAGGAATTATAAGCCATATAAATAAAAAACATCTGCCCTGAAGATAAGGATAGTGCTGACAGATCAACTTCCAATTCATAAAAAATTACCAGTAAAAACTTATAAAAACATTATTTATTTTGCCTCTGTTAGTTAACTATGTCGGTTTAAATCTATTGGTGCTATAGGCTTATTTTCTATGCTTGTTTTTCCTTCGTATTTTCTCAGCAAAAATTTCTAGTTAATAAAAAATATAAAGTAAAAAATTATCCTTCTTTCCATCTTGTGCTCACAAGTCATTATGGGAATATCCATTTAAAGTTATTAAAAGCCTGAAAAAAAGCATGTCTGCGATGTTATCATCATGCGATGATTTGTAGATACTTTATTTTTTACAATGATATTTTTGATGACGATGTTTTTAAACTGCTTTATGTTGGACGACGATGTTTTGTACCACGATGTTTTAGGACTGCGATGTTTTCTCCCACAATGTTTTGTAGCACGACGTTTTCGCCTTGCGTTGTTTTCTCCGCGATATTTTCGGCTGTAACCAAAGGAAGTATTGTAATCACGAAAAGTTTCAGGCAGCATATTTCAACGAAAATATCCATTTTGACCGCTATCAAATGCAGTTTAACGATGTTTTTGTGTCATATCTGTACATAAGGACAGAATAAAATACTCTTTTCTTTCAAAAAAATTATAAAACTGCTTTAAAATTAATTCTGAAGAGAATTTTTCGTGGAGTCTGTTCGAACGTATGTGCGTACATACGTTCGTGCGTACAAACGTATCTTGCATAACTCAAAAATGAGTAGCCTCAGAACGTTGAAATTTTGTATATAGGACTGCTATAACATGTAGATGTGCATCTCGTATTTTGGTTGCAATCGGGCACACCAAACGTATATAATATATTTATATATATATCCACTCTATTACTACCCGGCTCAGTGATCTCAGTTTCTTTACTCTTATATTTTGTAAATTGTACATTTTTTGCTTTAAAAATGATTGAATTATGTGTTTTTATCTTCCGTTAAGGATTTCTATGCCTTAGTAAATCTGTGTGCAATATTTTTAGAATTATCAGCAATTTTAAATTGTTTAATTGCGCTAAGCCTGTTTTAATGGCGGCGTGATGTTTACATTTGAAACAGGAGACTAGTGGATTTGTTGCCAATCTAGAGAAACTTAGCTTCGCAACAAACGATAACGCGTCATTTATTATTGCCAATTAAATCATGCTTAATCTTTCTGGAATTTTTGCGAGGAATAAATGTTTGAGATTTACTTCGTAATTTTTAATATAGATATTTTGATTAAGTATGATAATATTTAATTATGTATATTTGCCTTTTCGCGAAGTGAGAACTGAATTAATTAAATGAGAAATACTCAATCGTCTGTGAAAAATTGTTTCTGTTTTGTTTTGTTTGCTTAATTTCTTTTATACATAATTCTAGCTTTATTATAGCATTTGAATAGAACATGTGGCAACGATTAGATAATTCTTTAAATGATATACATTTTGTGCATTCTGAGTTATAATATGAACGAAATATAATACTATTAAATAAACTAGCGCCAGAGTGTCGCTATGGTAAACAAAGTGAATTTAAAGAATGCATTTATTCTATTGTGGTTATGCGCTGTCAGCGAAGTAGGTTTAATTCATCTAATAAGTTTAAATAAAATGCAAGAAAAAATGCGTATAATTTAATATTCCGTACAGGAAGTCGTGGTGTACACATCAGATTTTTTTTTGCAGACTGTTAGAGCAATTTTATAAAGTAAGCTTACATTCGTTATGTCAATAGAATTTCCGATATATATTTACTAATATGTAAAGGATCTACAAAGCAAAAGTATTTTCGAAGTCATTAAACAAAAAGTGGAATTGCTGCTGCAAAAAATGGATAAAGGCAATCTTTTGTTTCTAACCATTCCAAAATATGTTTATCATTTCACGCTGCTCTGCGTGGAAGGGGAAACAGCGGCACGCATGACTGGAAGTTGATCTGTCAGCACTTCCTTATCTTCAGGGCAGATTTTTATTTTATTCGGCTTATATTTACAAATGTAGTATTCATCTCGATGTACTTCGTCTTTTTGATAATTTAAATCAAATGCCTCGTCTTTATAAATATCACTAAAACACTGAAATAGTTTTTCTGGTTGCAATTTTCTAATTTCGACTATGCGTAATGTCTGCTTTACACATGTGCGCATTAATAAATTTTTAATAAAATAAACAATAAATATTAAGCTTTTTTTTTTTTTTTTTTTTTTTTTTTTTTAAAATTTCGATACTCTTTAGATCATAATTGCTCTTAATTTCATAAATTACGATTTCATATTTTCAATTTTATAATTCTGCATGCCATCTTACCAGATTTAAACTGATGATCTAATCCAGAATTGCCGAAGTCCCGACAAGTCCTGATTAAAGACTTTTGACTGTAATGTAATAACAGTGCAATATTTTGTTCAGACAGTCCAGTTTGAACAAGAATAGACAATGTGATGCAACACACCAATTCTTGTTTTGCCACTGGTCAAATTATTTTCAACTAAATGACTGGCAGAAATGTCCCAGGATGTTCACATATCATTTCCTATGAACAGTAATAATTAGAGATAAATTAGATAAAGTTTACAACACTTAAACAGACAAAAAAAAAAAAAAAAAAAACTTTTTTGTCTGACTTGTCTTGGCATCAGTTCTTGTGTATGGAGATGAGCCATCAATAACAATATATTTGACTTAGTTTAATGCTGATCACTGGCCTACATTAATGACTTATAACAAACAATGCACTTATGTTAAAGATACGCATTAGCATTGAAAATCAGTGTATAAATTTGTAGTACTACACTTTCGAAGATTAAGTGAAACCTTCTTCAGCTGTAAAATCATTTTGGCTCCTGTAGCTGAAGGAGAATGTTCCATCTAACCTTCAAAACTATAGTAATGCAAATTTATGCATGATACGCTAATTTTTTGCAGTTAATTAATACCTTAAATATTTGTTTTTCAGCTATTATTTTATTATTTTTTTATAATATACTCTGGTTACATCAGATAAAAAAACTCTCCAAGATACAGAACACTATGCCCTGTAATGGTGAATTCACAGAATTGTTATAGGGATTTCAATATCATAAAATTTAAATATTAAAATAATGAAAAAAGTTAAATATAGAAAATTACCTTAGCAGCTTCAAAAATCTTTTGCACAGCTACTGAAATTTCTGGACCAATACCATCTCCTGGTATGAGAGTTACTGTTCTTACATCCGATTTATTACGAATGGCTTGAAAAATATGAGAATTTTTTATGGAAGACAGTCCTCCTCTTAGCTAAAAATGAATAACATTTATAATTATTCAACTTATGAAAGATTTTGTTTTCCCTAAAATTGACATCAAATTTTATTTTCATATTTTTTATGAATAAAATAAGAAAATTATATTCCTATTTGTGTTATTATAATCATTTATCTATTATATACATAATAATATTTACTGTGATTTTCCCTACCTTATGAAAAGAAAGTTATCCGCACTACGTTAAATGCTATATTATCTGACATTCAGTAACACTGGTTCTCTGATATACATGAAACAGGTTATCTAGTACATAAATTGGATTAAAGTATGAATTTCTTTAACATGAATCATATATATTTTTCTAAAACATAAGCAAACATTACTCTCCAAGGCATGAATGAATGTGTAAAAATTTCCTTCACAGAAGGGGTGAAAAAAAAACTGATAACAAAATAAGCAAATCTTTACGTACAATTAAGCCAGTTTAAGGAATCCTTTAGCTAGTTTAAATCTAGCTAAAGGTTTCCTTACTTTTCTATTAAACCAAACACATTATGCATGTACCTCACTTCAACAATGATTTGCCTTCTGCTGCTTGGAATTTTACATATCTCAGAAGTAATACATAAAAATTTCTAATTAATAATAAATAATATACTTTAAAAAGTGATAAAATTGAACTTATGTTGTAAAGAAGAGGTAAGTAAATTTTAATCTATTCAATTTAAGGATAAAAAGAAGTAATCAACAAATAGTTTTAATTTTAAATTAAAAATGAATTTAATGCTCATAAATTTTAAAATTTATAGAAATGACTACATAGTCATATTAAATATTTGCTTAATTTTATTGGAGAAAATTAATATATAAAAAATGTTACTTAGGACTTAATTCCAATTCAGACATTTTATTCTGGCTTTTTATTTAATTCACAACATTTTTTATGTGTTCTGTAATATTTTAAAAGGTAATTTTTGTTTATCTGCACCCCTTTCCCAAAAGATCACCAATAGGTAGTGACTAATTTGTTTCACCAAGCTAAGACAACAGTCATTTTTAAAAATACCAGTGAACTAAGAATTATATAAAACAGCAAACTTTAACAAAATAAAAATGCAAGAAACATCTAATATAAAACACTTAATCTGATAGAATTTGTTCTTAAAAATATGGAATTACATACAATACTAAAATTGATACTTTCTGATGATCTGCACCCCAACTGAAAATTTGTGAAAAAGTAATTATGAAGCAACACAGTATGCTGCTAAATGTTGCAATACAGATATGCAAGTTTTACACAAATGTTTTGGCTTATGCAGTGCCAAGTTTATGCAGTTTTTTGATTAAAAAAAAATTTTTTTTTAGCAATAATAGATTGCTATATACCTACAGAGAACAACAGCAAAACAAAATCACAAGATTTCTCAAAACGTTAACTGTTTTATTGGAACTACTCTTATATGCGCCCTCAAGTTGCCAAATTTCTCACCAACTTTATGGTGCCATATTACTATCTAAATTTTTTGTCTACATTTCGAACTTTAAGCCTAAAATGTCTCCAAAAACGCGGTTTTCGCACATGCAAAAACCATGTTTTGAACACACAATTTAAGCTAAAAATCAAAAATCAAACCAAAAAATTTGGATAGCAAAAATGTAAAGTTTCTAACTAAAAATATTTAATAAGAATCCATGTACACAACGATATTTTTTAATTTAAAAAAAAATCTACGAATCGCACAATCTAGACAACGAACGAATCTACGAACTACGCACACCTTGCTTTAATAGATTAACATAACAATAAATTTCAAAGAATACCATGTACACAGCATCCTGTTTAAACTTAAAAAAACATCTACGAATCGCACAATCTAGGTATTGCGCACAAATCAACAAAATGAACTAAAATTACAAACAATTCAAAAACAACAATAAGAACAGAAATTCATAGTAAAACAACAATAAACATAACATTCTACAAAATATAATGCACTTACTATAATACATTCATTAATAAAATTTTGCCAGTCACACAACGTTTGAACAAACGTGCCACCATTTTCCTATATCACATGTCTTTCTGCGATTCAAAATTTCGAAAGTAACAATAAAAACTTCCTCCAAAGTTAACTTACTACACGAAAACCACGATCAAAATCTTAAACTCTGCTGACAGCCACATACTTTACCAGCAAGCATTTCACTGCAAATCCACACAAGAACTATTAGAAACGCCCTTCTTCATCCGAATTCTCATAGCAGCTCTGCATTTCAGATTCCGTTTTAAAAGCCCCACAGAAATTCCCAAAATACACTTCCATCCTCATAAATACACCCACGAGCAAAAGACTCGTTAACAACTCCAACATCATACTTTTTAATACTAAATTTACTTTGCACACAATCTAAAATACGAGACTGAAACCTTCCCACCATGTCTATCATCGCAACATAGGCCGTTTCAAAACACGCACGACACTGCAGTTAAGTTTCAACATCAAAAGGGTTGCCATACAAACAGTATCGTCCACCAAACCATCCCACAGCACGGAATCACGCCAAAAACCAGCACAGAACACATATCGCCACATTTGGTGATCTTAGGGCGCATATAAGAGTAGAGCCGTTTTATTATCCATGTTTCTTGCATTATTGATTGATTTTGCTTGAAGTTTATTGATTGATTGCTCTTTTATAATTCCTGATGTGTCATCATTTTGAAAATGGCTCATGATTGTAATGCAACTTGGCAAAAAATTTTTAGTTTCACCAAAGAGAGTCCTGTTACTCTGGGAGGTTGGCCAATGAGTTCATGACTAACTCTGAAGATACAGATAATCAGAAAAACATATTGTATGTAATTTTGGTACTTGTCTTCTGTAGCGGCCTTGGTGAGATAAAACGGCATCAGTGCAATTCAGGCTTGAGAAACTGCGATTTGTTGCCAAATGTTATAAACACTCATGAAAACGAAATTAATTATGATAAGCAATAATTCGTTCAATATCTAGACAATATAAGTTGCTTTAATATATATGTAGAGAGAATTGAACATAAATTTGTATTTGTAGTTAATAATTTTGTAATTTATACAGGTTAAAAATAAATTAAAAATTCTATTAATTATTTTATTTAACACAATTTCGTTGGCAAATGATTTTAAAAAGTAACACAGTCAAACACACTAAAAAATTCACTTTTTATGAAGTCTTTCTGGTAAGCACAGTTTAGCAATTGCTGCTAATAATGTCTCCAACTCATCATTACAGCCAATGTGATGCCTGAACATTTCACTAACAAATAGTTTCATTACCAACATATGATGGCATATTATGCCAATTTTCACCAATTCTCTAACTAAGAAATTTTTTCTTGGAAATGAACTACAGCATCTATTTCAGTTGATGGCAGGTTAAAAATAGCAAGTCTAAATATTTGCAATGACAAACTGCTATATCTCAGTCAAAGAAATATGAACTATAAGCCTACACAAACCATAATATTTTAAAGGGATTATAGAAGAAATGAGCATGTGTAAATTGGTAACAGTAACATTTGTTTCTGTCACATACACAGATTGGTAAGTATTTGTTTCTTGCCAATACAGAATCGTGCAAAATTAAGATTCTCGCCAAGGCCACTACAGAAGACAAGTACTAAAATTTCACACAAACATATGAAAAAAATTATAGATTAGTGAAAAATTCATTAATTATATATTCAATTTCCTTTTACAAAGAAAACAGAACATAAAACTTTCTGCAAATCCATATAACTATAAAATTTAAACAAACAGTGACTGGCAATGATAGGATAATTCATGCTTAGTTTTTAGTTAATGCACAGGATTTGTCCAGAAAGTAGTAGGACTGAAATAAAAAAAAAAAAAAAAAAGAAAGAAATATTCACAATTTTGATACAGCAAATTAAAAGTTTTCAAAATATACCTATTCTGCATTAACACAGAGTTTCCAGCGTCTCTGCTAATTGCTGAAGGCTCCCTGGAACACCAGAAACTGGAAGGCTTTTCAACTCCCTCATTACGGTCTCTTGAATGACCTGGACTGAGCCGTGGTACTGTGGGGTAATAGGAAGAAGACTGAAGGAACGACATCTATGCTGTAGAACTTACGTAATGCTATGTTTGGTCAGGAAGTAAATAACAGCAAAGGCGGTGTGGGTCGGGGCATTGTCGTGATGGAGTGTCCATGATCCAGCAGTTGCTGGACGGATGCGGACGACTCGTTTTCTGATCTTTCAAAGTATTTCCACATATAATGCAGCATTCAAGTCTGACCAAGTGGTACAAACTCTCTGTGAACTGCTCCTTTAGCAGTCAAGAAAGGTGATCAACATCAATTTCATCTACAACTTGCTCTCTTTCCTCCCGAAGCAATTTGTGCCACTCAAAAACACTTTATTAACCATAGCATCATTCACAGTTTTATCCAGTTTGATGCAAAACTTCACCGCATATGCTGCTCTAACAAAAGATTCAATGTGGAGATGACAAGGCACCTTGAAAGGGATTTATCTTAAACTCGATCTATACTGTCAAGGCTTGGAAATGACTGGCGACTAGTAGTTAACATCCCCCCTAACACAATAAGCATAGTAACATTCCTGTCCTACATCCCGTTGACAAACCTTATATATATGTATGCTTGTATGTTTATTACGTACATACACACATATATTTCTAATTCTACCTAAGAAACCCTGTTGCTGAATATCCATTATTTCAATAATTGTTACTTAACACGTTAGTCATAGCTGAAGTACTATGTTATTATTAATTAAAACACATTCTATTTTATTTACAACATTATGCACAGCGGACCACAATTTTTGATAATTTTGATCTTCTTTCCAATGATGATTACTGATAATATGACACTGAAATTTATTATGAAATTTCACTGTTTGTGCACTGAATCCATTTCCAATTAGAATTTTGCTGATGTTTTCTATTTTTTCTCTTCAATAACCATTATATTTAAAAAGCTTTTACCCTTTAAATATGATGGCAATGGAATCATTTTTTTTAAAGAGCCTAAACATGCTAGCAATGAAATCACCTTTTTAAACAACCAGCTTTTTAAAAAGAAGGACAATTTAAATATCAAAAGGGGGGAAAATAACACAATTTCTTTTGGCATGCTGTCCTTTAGAAAAACTCATTAGTTCACATACACTCTAGTCCTGTGAAAATTCTGAAAATATAACGCTGATTTTTGTTGTTTGACTTCTGAATTGGTATTTGTTTGGCGTGTTTTTGTGTCTTAAAAATTTATGCATATTTATAAATCTAAACTCTAAATATAATTTATTAATTACTAAGCAATTCACCAGAGTTTTTATTTTTATACAGACATGTATACATTTTTGCAGAGAGAAATTTGAAAGGAACACGTATCCTAAATATCAGTTGGTATTGAAATATCTGCAAGTTATGTGAAATCAGAAAGAGTTTGGAATATTATAAAGTAAACAGTTAATTATAAGCAAACTATGATAATGATCATGTGCAACTGAATAAGGTTTGAAATCATACACTAAAAAATCATAAAGATGACAGATCAAACTCTGTTCGATGTAATTATTCTACATTCTTATTCATTACCTAAGCAATGCACAATGAATCTGAAACTGAGAAAACAACTGATTACTGAAAATCTGCAGACATTTCTATGAAAAGATATTCATTAATTTGTGTATGTAGCTTGCTGCAACAGAATAATACGGTGCCACAACCACAAATTATACGTAATTTATCAACAGAATTATTAAAAGTCTGATAAATAGAGTATTGGCAATATAGCATGGTACAAATAACTCTCAGAAGGACACAAAGAAATATGGCAGAAAAGAAAAGACACAAGCTTTAGAAAAATATTTTTGATACTAATACTAGCTATGCTTTTAGTGATAATGAAACTTACCATATAATTCCGAAGAGCGTTGGCCATTTTTTTCAAATATTAAAATATCAATCAATCAAACTGACCTTGCCGCAGACGAAGTTCTTCAAAAAGAAAAAGAAAATTCCGGCCTGCGATAATTTCGGTTGCCAAAATAAATTCTGTAATTCTAACAATTTATTGGGGCTTACACTATAGCTGTGAGCGTTATATCTTTAAAAAGACTATAATAAACTAATAATGAGTTAAATATAATTTAATAAACTCTCAAAAAGTAAAGATTATTCTCTTTAATAATATATAGTATCGTACTTTATTGAAGAACTGTATCTCTAAACCGAGGTAATGTTTTATTCTTTACTTTAAAACACACGATCTGTGTGCTTTTCCTACCTATGTGGGCTTTCACACATTAATGTGGTGGATAAAAGCTAGTATTTTGATTGGCGTTAATTCTCGCTGTGTTACTGAATCAGAGCGAAATTTAAAATTTGGCTTATATGGTAATGCACGGAATTTTACTTGAAAAATCCAATTTACAAATTTTGTTGTATATGCTAAGTTGTATAGCATCTTGATCGCATGAAATCGAAGGACATTTCCTTGTTAAAAAGGAAAAGTAAAAATTTTTTTAAAAAAATTTCTTGTTGATATAAAGGAGGAACTGCTGGCTTGTTGTAGGAAATTGTGTCACTGTTTTATTGTATTGCGACAGGTAGCTGATTTTGACGTTCGTTGATTGTAAACAAATGATATCATATGTGTTTAACTTGGGATTTAAAGAAAAATCTGTGCAGTCAAAAGTGTCTTTTTTTCCCATAAAAATGATATTGAATCATTATATACTAAAAATATATTGATCTATTATATTCGTCTATTGTATTTATATCTATTATATACGTAATAGCACTAATTATCAGATGCAATTTTGAGAATATTAACAAGCAAAGCACTTAAAAATGAAAAAAGACACTTGCAATAGAAATATTAGTATTCTATATGTATTATAGAAAATACGTGCAATGAATAATACCAGGACCAAACATTTAAAAAAAAAGAGAAGATTAAGTATTACCTACCCCTCAGTACTTGAGAAAGCAATCCTGGCATATAACATGTAGTTAACTTTTGATTACATGATATTACAAGCATTTTCTTTAGATTTGTCCTACAAATGGTTAAAACGACTGAACATATAATGCCCACAACAATAAAAAAATAAACGTTTAATTACTTTTCGATCGCAACATGCTTCACAATCTACTTAGTATTGTCAAACGTAAATGCCGATTTTTAATGTTTCCACCTTTTCAGCTACTAGATAGCGTATCAGAGCGCTGGAATCGTAAATAGTCGTAATCATCTATTAGCGAGCAATTTTATTTTCTCTGTGTTTATCAAATGCAGTTCTAAGCATTATGAGGAAAATTTTAGCTGTTTACTTTTTTACTTCGAGCAGAAAATCCGTATTGTTTACAAGCATTAAAATACTGTTTGTCATCACAAACCACTACTTCTCATTAGTGTATAAAGAACCTTGATTAAAAACTGCTATATGTATTATAGATATTTAATACATTGATTGATACATTGATTGACAGTCTATGTTCCTTAGTTGCATGTTATGGAGAACAATTCTCTAATATTCTGAAGGTGTCCTTTGTATTTTATTTACTTATTCATTCATCTATTATTTCATTTACTTTTTTTACATGTTTTTGAGAAATATATCTGAAATTTTAAAAGTGTCTATCCACCTGTATTTATCCCACTTTTTTTGCGGTATTTTACCGCTTGAATATCTAGTTACGAAAAACAGACAGATAACTTGGCTAGGTTATGCCACTATTTATATGGGTATTTTGATATGATTTTATAACTCAGATTTTAATATTTTAAAATTTAGCAGGAATTTTCTTTGTAATTTAAAATTTTCGTATTAAATAGCACGAAAGCAGTCCATTTTTATACATTTGCGTATTATTAAAATTGAATTAATGATGTCTAGTGCTACCAATAAGAATCCAACGGAAACTGTTAATTAATTTTGCTGTTTAAAATGTTAAATCAAAATATTACTGTATTCTTAACTGTTATCTGAGTAATATTCATTTCCATCCAATGCCGTACATTCATGAACATTATTTTTGCATCTTGTGAGATGAAGTCATTACCAGTAACAAAAATCTAATTCTAACAGTAATTATCTACATTAATTTCAAGTTAAATCTTAATTCGGAAATGCAGGAATTATTTCAATTCGTACGAATAGCTTACTCAGAAATTATGTAAGACCGCAGTGCTTTACTTCGCTAGTTGCATTCTTATTAGAATTTAACTCTTGACTTTGCCTTTTCTATATTTTCGCTTTCGGGTGAGCGGTGTGATGGCATCCTAATTAATTTAATTACCACGAATGGCCTTAGGGCATAAAATTGAACTATCTGGGTAAAAATTCTATGTAATTGTATGCCAGTAGTGAAACAATCAATCTGATAAGAAATGGCTGCGATTTGTTTTGAAAATGAGGTGTAAAAGGTTACCAGTTAGGATAATGCGTTTGGCATCAGTTGTACCATTATTGGCGACTCTATCGCCTGCGCCGGCAAAACAAAAAAATACCCTAATGACTTTCTTTGATTCAGAATTGAATAACTTGTAGCCTACTGCAGCAATTTTTACAGAATTAATGACTTTCTTTAATTCAGAATTGAATGACTTGCAGTCAATAAGCAATCTGATTTAGAATTTATTTGTTTCAGAATTGAATGACTTGCAGCCAATAAGTAAATTTCAAAGAACTGAGTGCATTTTCTTCTGTAAAAAATTGCGGCAATATATATGCACCGTATACATAATACCGAACTTAAACGTAAGTACCGGATTTAGAAGATAGTTATAGGTGATGAAGATCATCTATAAATATCTTATCATTTTAGACCACTATTTCTGTAGTTATTATTATGTATTGTTGTTTTATTATTTGCATATACAGTTGTTATTACTTACTGCATACAGATTTACACGCAGTCTTTTCTCTAAATAGTATTCGCTAGCTGTAAAAATGTAAATATTAAATGTATAGACTTTTCCCCCTCTCAAAAAATGCCTTGTTTCTCACAAAATGCTTCATTTTATTAATGTCTATGAACGGAACAGTAACTGTGAACGGTGAAGATAGCCAAACTAATGTGTTTCATGAATTCGCAAAGTTGCAAATAAGTTGCCGTCTTTTAATGGGGTTTTATTTAATCAGAAAGTACGAAGTAATCTTCTGTTAATTTAGCAAAATTAATGCACTTGCTTCTATGTAACTAAAATTTATTACTTTCATTCTTTTTTGCATATGCATTTTGCAAAATATTGAGAGATGAATATAAACTCAAACGAATGTAATTAACCAATTAATATTTTCAATAAATTTGAGATGCAGCCTTATCAGTATTAAATAAAGACAGCGAAATTTATCAAGATTAAAGACTGTAGTAAGGAAATGTGTTAATATTATCCCCCCCTTTTTTTTTTTTTGCTTTACATGTAATTAGTTTTCTGTAGCTTCTGTTCCTTTTTTTACTTTTATTTAACAATTAGATAATTTTTTGGGGCCATTGCTTTTTTGTCATCTGATTTTTCATTGTAAAATTTAATGTGTAAAAGTTAAATTATTCAGGAGTTTTTATATTTCTGTAATTTAATATTTATGTTGAATAGGTATATGATGAAGTTTTATTAATTTGGTGAACCAAGAAAATGACTGTCTTAATTTGTCTGATCATGAGCTTCATCATTGTTTTAATTTGTCTGATCAGTTTTGATCAGTTAATTTGTCTGATTGTAATTAAAATGATTTGTGCAAAGGTGTCTACTAATTCAAACTGAATTACCCAGGGCAGGCGGCGAGGACGGCCCTTTGCTTACTGCCCCACGGGGTTTCCCCTTCTATTTGCTTAATTGCTTAAAGTAGAGTGCAATGAAGGAAACCACTGGCGGTACATTTCTTAAGAGCCACCTCAATAAATAAAGGTGATTTAAATAATAAAGTGTTAATTCAGATGTCAAAGATCTCTTTGTATGCAACATTTCTTGTGTAGATCTTTCCATCATTTTTAAGCTCGCCTTGACGAGCACCATCCATTATTTTTAATTTTACGTCCGTTTTTCTGGCCCCCCCCCCCCCCCCGCCCTCTCACTCTGAACAGGCAACATAAAGTTGACCGTGTCCAAATGCAGCCTCAGGTAAAAAAATGCCAATACGTTTAAGCATTTGACCCTGAGACTTATTGATGGTTATAGGAAAGGCAAGTTTTACAGGAAATTGTCTACCTCTCAATTGAAACGGCAACCTTCTGCCGTAGCCAAATCCCTCTAATAGGGAAAAACATTTCTCGAACATCTACGGAAAGGCACCGAGTTGAAATTCGAGACGCGTATCCTCGGATTCTAAAAAATTCTCCGAATCCATCGATACCGGTCTCATCTTCGTACGACTTTAATCGGCCGAGATATTAATTAAAAACTGCGGAAACGTTAATTTCCGCGCTCATTTTTCAGAGTGGCAACAATAAACTATCGGCGACAAACACTTAAGCCGCTTATATATACAAATATGTTAAATTTATTTATTAAATGTTAAATGCACGTACTCTTGTATTTTTAATTTTTCCGGCTTAGCTTTCTCATAATATTCGTCACCCGCTGCATTGCACGGAGAATAAAACAATTTACGGTTACGCAAGTAACCAATAAACTATCGGCGACAAACACTTAAGCCGCATATATATAAGATGTAAAATATGAAATAAAATTACTAACAGAATTATTAAACTTAATTGGAACCAATTGGCACATACGTACATGTTCTTTTGCTTTACTTGTGATCCATGCAGTGTTTTAAAAACAAAACAATAAGTAAATCGACGCATTTCAGCAAAACTGATCGCCTCTGTTTGCAAATGGATGAAACGGATGGAGTATTTTTTTTCCCATCTGGTAGTGCGAGGATCTGTTTAAGTACGTAGATTATAGAAACTAGTTCCTCGGATTCTCAGCTGTCTGTGCTCTGGCATTCCGGCTCTAGTCGCAGATCTGGGTCTTTGGAGTTGTGATTTTTCGCTCTTTTCATCGCTCCTGCTGTAGCTGCGGATCTGAT